GATTGTAATGCTGGTATTTTTCACATCGTCTTATGACAAAGTGCACATGCTAAATAGCACAGACTTACCTCTTGTCAAATGTCAAAAATATGCTGTATATGGGCACTACGAACTATTTTGAAAATTAGGTCAAAGGTCATGAGGTCGGTTACCATGGTAATTTACAAAAGCCAAAGTGCCAAGCAATATATGTGCAAAATATCAAATCCATACCTCTTATAGTTTTTGAGATATAGGGTGTGACATTAGGACAAATGCTCCAACTATTGCACCACGCGGACGACATGAAGAAAAACTTTTTTTTAAAAGAATTGATCACATTACGGAACACATGGCAGTTACTACTAGAATGAAATTATATTCAAAAAATTAAAAAGCAGTAAACTTTTAACCATCATGCTGATCTTTTTGCATCCAAAATTAAGCATTTGCCAAAAATAGTACTAGAGGAACACGAAAAAAAATTTGATGTCGCCATGTGTAAACACTTGCTTTAGTTAGATTACATGTCAAAAATAATTAAAAGCCATGACATGCGATATGCCACCCATTGCTTGGATTTAGGTAGACTGCCTCTTAAGAACAAATGCATACAATAAGTAATTTCTTTAATTCATAGTTAATGATTCTTATTTCAGTTTCATGTTGTATAAATTTCATATTAGCAATTCGACAGACTTTAAAGCAAAGTATCAACAAGAAAATGTACCCTCAGAATAAAATCTCACATAAAACAATCAGTATTGAGTATAACCACCTCTCGCTCTAATTACTGCAAGACATCGTTTCTTCATCGATACAATGTACTAGTATATCTGAATACAGTAGGCTGAACTATCTGCTGGCATACCTGCTCTTTGGATCTTTCTAAATCGTTGATGTTGCTTGGAGGAGAGAGAGCTTTGACTTTACATTTAACCAAGTCCCAGATGTGTTCTATGGGATTCAGATCCGAATATTTCGCAGGCCAGGGTATTACGCGAAGAAGTTGTTGGTTGCCAGAAATTGTTGGGTTGGGTTGCGCTATGACGGGGGAGGGGGGCATTATCTTGTGCTAGAACCATGCCTCTGTCACCTGCAACATCTGAGACAAGAACTGGTCCAACAATATCATATTGATACCTCTCTACTGTTAGGCCACCAATAGCATGAATAATTGTAGTTTTCGTGTGCGTCGACACTCGTCCCCCGACCATGATAATTCCGCCGGCACAAAATCCGTCTACTCAACACAGGCCGCACTATGACGTTCTTCTCGCCGGCTGTACACTCTTTTTTCTGACCCATGCAAGACTTTTGGGTTAATACTAACAACCCCCCCCCCCCCTTGGACGTTTAAATCTGTAGACATGAAGTAATAAGATAAATAACATAGACAGAGACTGGAAACTTGTATTGAAGCAGAAGATCCTTTTAGAAACATTATATTGATTGTGTACTTCAACTGTGTCTAAGGAATTTTTCAGTAAAATATTGTTAATTAAAGTAACAAAAAAAAAACAAAAACAAAAACAAAAAAAACACACACACAAAAAGTGGGAGGGGGCACTTTTCCAAGATAATCTGACGCCAGCGCGCGTCTTTACACAACAAAACGCGTGTGTGTCCGGGGGGGGGGGGGGGGCGCAACCAGCTGCATTTAAAGGAAAATTTTCTATAGCAGAATAGTGTACTTAGAGAAAAGTGGGGGACTGGGCCCCTGCCCCCCCCCCCCCCCCGCGTTAACGTTCTACGTGCCTGGTAAATATATTAAGGTTTGTTTTTGTAATGTCGATTTCATTTATACACTGTACATGTATCGTTCATGATGACTGTTAGTCAGTTGATCTTTTTTAGAATACATGTACTTACTTTAAAACTTTGTATAAAATATCTAAAAAGCCTTTATCCTATGTGTATTTTATAAAGAGATTTTGCAGAGATCACTTCAAGTAAAAAAAAAAAAACAAGATGTGTTTGTGAAACACTAATTCCCCGTATGGCAACTAATAGCGAAGGTTGAACTTTCTCACATGCAAATCAAATATGTTAGTACCCAAAGAAAGGTCTTGTCCCGAGGAATATATCTGTGAACGATGAAAACCCTAGCAGCAACCATTGAAAAGATACAGAAAATGTTAAAGTTTTTCAAAAGTAAGTCAAACATCAAGGTCAAATGGTCAAAATTAATGGTGCCCAAGGAAAGGCCTTCTTACAAAAAATATACATGTGAAGTATGAAAGCCTTAGCATCAACCGTTCAAAAGATATGGCAAGGTTAAAGTTTTTCAAAAGTAGGTCAAACTCTAAAGTCAAGGTCAAAGGGTCAAAGTTGTTGGTATCCAAAGTAAGTTCTAATGTCACAGGGATTACTGTTCAAAAGTAATGGCCACGGTTAAAGTTTTTCTAAAGTAGGTCAAACTCCAAGGTCAAGGTCAATGGGCTATGATTGTTGGTTTCTAAAGGAAGGTCTTGTCACAAGGATTACACATGTGAACTATGAAATCCCTGGCACCAACCGTTCAAAAGTTATGGCCAAGGTTAAAGTTTTTCAAAAGTAGGACAAACTCCTAGATCAAGGTCAAAGGGTCAAAGTTGCTGGTCTCCAGAGGAAAGTCTTGTCAAAAGGATTACACATGTGAAGTATCAAAGCCCTAGCATTAACTGTTCAAAAGTTAAGGCAAAGGTTAAAGTTGGGTAAAATTTTGTAAAACTTGGTCAATCTCCAAGGCCAAAAGGTCAAATATGATGATACCCAAAGAAAGGCTTTGTCACAAGGAATACACATGTGAAATATGAAAGCCATAGCTCCAACCAATCAAAAGTTATGAGCAATGTTAAAGTTTTTGCGGACGAACAGATAAACAGACAGACAGACAGACGGACGGACAGGGCATAAACTATATACCTCCGAATCTTCGATACGGGGGCATAAAAAGGCCGCTTGTAATTAGATACAGACACATTACCTGATTTTTCAACAGGTGATATAAGATGTATATAGAAAATACATGTAATGAAGATATATCACAAGACGTAAAGCATGGATTTATTTGAGAAACTTATCACAGCTAAGGTTATAGGATATACTATGATACTATGATAACAGAAAGTAACATTATTTTCGATTTTAAACTGTATAAAGAAGATGGGCGTGTTTGGCGTGTTATCTGCAGGAATAAGGCGTACGAAACATTTATAGTTTAAATGTCTCCGATTTAGTCTGCTGACCACAGCTGGACATACTTCACAAAGTTACGCATATATGGGAAGATGTTACATTTAGTTTGAAATACTTTGTCTAATTCAATATATCAGTCCGCTTATCTTAATTATTACTGTAAAACTTTGTAACACTTCACATGAATATTAACCATATAGGGTTTAGTTAAATGCAATTACAAACATGTATATATTAAAGTATCAGTAGGTTGGAAGAATTGCTTTCGCTTTCGGTACAACAGAACCAGAATTTATCTATTTGAAAATAAATCAGTACAAAAAATTAAACTGACAAAAGATTGATTGTTTTTATTCAAAAAATATTAAGGCTCCATGCGAGGATCGAACCAAAAATATTTCTTTTTCATTGCACTGGACGGGTGACGCACACTACTGAGCTATCACCGCTATACATACTTCATTGTTTTTAAAGCGACAATGAACACCGCATTTACACATTGGAATTTTTTTCGGGAAAAGTTCATATTTTATCGTCTTTGGGTCTTCTGTCCATTTTTTACACATGTTTGTTAGTTTCTTTGAATTACAATGCACACAGATAACGTTTGAAAATCATGGAGAGATGACCCAGAGGTAGCAAATTTTTAGAAAAACGTGTTTGAAAATGTAACATTTTGTTCCAAATGACTCATCTAGCTAATTTTCAAGTTCTTTTTAAGCAACTCAAAATACAATATCGGGAAAATAGTTCCCTTTCCTAATTCACAGGAACCTGTTACATCAAAAGAATGCTAAAATTTCATGTGACAGATCAATGAAATTTTCACTTTTCAAGTGCACCCAGATTCCTGCCGAATGCCAATCAAAAGCGCCCTCTTTCTTTAAAAAAGTAATAAACTACATAAAAACTTACTTTTATTTGTGTGTAATTTTTTCATTAGTTAAATTTGACGAAGCAAGTTACATGTATAAACACAGAAGTGATCGCGTTACACCATGGCGTCATCATGGTAAAATCTGACGCATTTAGTGCACAGTAAGATGTGAATCAAGTTTTTTTTCATAGTTTTTTCATAGTAAAAATATGTTTTATAATTTAACAGACTGTTTGCAGATATTTCATACCACATTTATTTAACTGCAATGCCTTTTTAATATTTTTTCTCTACGTTCCTAATGTATCAAATAGATATGGTCCAATCACATTTTTGGTCCAAGATATTTAAAAGAAACGGATAGTAACAATTTCCTTTTTTCTGTTTTTTTTTATGAAACTGGTTCTACCTTACAACCTTTGAATAGATTAACCAAGATCATGTGCCTTGAATTTAAATCGCAATAACATACATGTACATGTATTAAGTAGGGGATGAAACTGTAGAAATAAAATGCTTCAAGTTCAACATAGGTCAAACAAAAGTTAAATCCCTTTTAAAATTCCCAATGATTTACAATTTCCATAGGAAGTTAAAACTCCTTTCAGCATGCAAGCATGAATTTTTTAAAATGAAATAAAGATCTGCATATGATTTGAGGCTAAACTCTACATGTCTGTATTTTAACTTGATGTTTATGGAGGATCATTGGATCATCCATTTTTTTTTAATCTGAAGTTTTTGATTTGTATCGTTTTCAGTTTTTTTTTTTTAAACATAGATCTAATTTTAAACTGATCTAAAGTTATATGACGTATACAAGCTGAGTAGTCTGTTGTGAACAGCTTTCAATACTTCACATATGGGGAATATAAGAAAGCTGATTTCTGGTTGGATAAAACCTTGGTAGTCTCCTCGGATTTTATTGGTCGATGATTCCGAGTATATAAGGCCTTGCTTGGGATCCGAGATATGGGAGAAAACCTGTTCAGGCTGTTGGTTTTCTAAAGCATTCCGCCTTCAGGAAGGTATGTTCTGCTCGTGCAGTTTTTAAAGAAGTTATCGTATTGATTCTTTTCTAAAATTATATCAATGTTATGGTGTTATATTTAAGCAATATACGTTTTCTCGGAATTCCGTTCTAGATTCTCTTGTCTAGGTCAAGTATTTTTAGATTTTGCGAGTATTATTAATCGAACAGCATGTGCATTTCTCTGTGTCATTATCACGTGTCGGAAAATCTTTTAAATGTTTGATAGGCACGTAAAACCGTAAAAGGAATAGTTCTAGAAGTGGAAGTGGGGTTTGGATTGAGTATATACATGTATCAAGAAAAACTTATGAAAAATTATCGTTGGTAAAAATTACTAATTCTGATTCTGTGAATGTTAGATAGAGCTCATCTGTGAGGCTCTCTTTTTTCACATACCTTAAAACAACTGAAAAATAAATTATTTAACAATATTTGCGTAACAGTGGGCTGTATATGGAAATATAAACACGCCTCTGTCATGGGTTCAGGTCTTATTTAATATAGACACAGTGAGCTATGGCAAACATATAAAAATAGCCCTGAAATATAATAAATAGAGAATATTACATAATTAAATCCATATCATATGTCATAGCAGCCCGAGTGGCCCCATATCCGCCCGAGGGCTGATATGGGGCCCGAGGGCTGATATGACATATGATATGGATTTCAGTATGTAGTATTCTATTTATCATATATTTAAAATACTTAATATGCGAGTTCACATAAAATCATTGAAGAATGTTTCGTGCATGTTCAGGACCTTTTTCTTTAAAATCTAATAAAGCAAATTTTAGGTCTTTGAAAACAAATTAAGTCCACAGATGTTAGTAAAGAATTCTTTTACATGTGCATGTATATTTAAATAAAATCAAGTTAATTGACTTTTAAACTTTAAACAAACGTTACTTCCGGTGTGATATGGATTTTTGCCCGCCGGTCCGATACGTGATATGGATTTTCGGACCGGTCCTTGATATGGGGTATTGTGACGTCACCCGTATCGCACAGTGCAGAATCGGTGTATTTACTACTAAGTATATGATAAAACACCAATATCATATCAATACATCATTCATACATAGCTCTTATTGATAACATATCCATAGTTACATATTATAATATGTATATGTTCAATCTTGATTAAGGGAGATAATCTTCTGACTAATAATCTCATAATAGGCATTACATATTTTCATATAAAGGCGAAAAAATATCACTACTTAAAACAAATAATTCCTCATTTTTCCGTGGAAAAAGGCTACCACAGATATGTGTGTGGATATGTTTACATCCAAGTAATATGTATATGGATTCTGTAATTTGATATAGTATATATACATTAAAATAAATATTCCATCAAAATTTAAAATAATCTGTTCTCTTTGAACAAAGTCTTAACCAAATATATGGATAATAAAATATTATGTAACTTGAGTATAACAATTTAAATTATCATTGTATAACATTACCAATCTTTATAATCATAAATATCTTTCATTAGTGGCCATTCATTCCATTAATATGAAGTGTAAATCGGATCTATTGTAATTGCAAATCCACAGGTAAAGACTGGACATATTTATTCACAATTAGCAATAAGGAATACTTAATATTAATTTAATACTAACGTAAGAATGGAAATAGTCAATCTAAAGAGTCATAGTCTGGAGTCCATTGTTCTTTCTGATATATTTCATTTTGTCAAATAAAATCTGCACAAAGTAGTCATGTTGCAGATTTTATTTGACAAAATGAAATATGTCAGAAAGAACACATTAAAATAAAATCTGGGTTCTTCTCAACAAGACAAAGAATGTTCAATTTGGCGGTATAACCAATGATCATAAGCATAAAACCCATCAAAACCAAGTTGACAAACTTCCAAACCTTTTGAAGGTAATTATATATATATATATATATATATATATATATATATATATATATATATATATATATATATATATATATATATATATATATATAGGTGTACAGGTAGAGCTACCCGAAATTTCGAAGAAATGTAGTGGTAATGTTGATTGACTTCCCGAGCTAGGGATATACAAGTGTGGATCCAACTTTAATAATTTTTATTCCGTTTATGATAGTTTAATTTTCAATTTATTTATATTTAATTTAAAACATTAATAAATCAAATCCACTCTATTGTATTAATTATTCAATAAAATAAAAGAATAAAATGCGTAAAAGATACAACACAATTTTTTTTAAAAATTAAATTTTTCTATGAATTTTGAAAATTAATGAAGAAATGTATTGTCTCAGAGCGGGAAATTGTCCTCGCCTTGCACGCCTCATTTCTTACGTGGAAATTCCTTCGAAATTCCAACCAGTGCTTTACATTTATCATGCGATGTAGAACGGTAAGAAACACAACTCGGTGCCTTGATTCTTTTATAAACAGTGTTGCCACTATTGCCATCCTAAACAGGCCCATAGCAACGGTTTCAAGGGGGGGGGGGGGGGCAACTTCCCAAAATATCTGAAAATCCACAAAAAACCCTAAACTGATCAAAAGTGGTGGGGGACTTCCCAAAATTATCTGACAAGCACACAAAAGGGGGGATTTACTGTCCGAATCCTGAAATTTGACAATGCTCGACCTTAAAACATCAATAAAAGGGGGAGGGGGGGGGCAACCTGCATCTAAAGGGAAAATTACTATAGCAAAATAGTATACTCGGAAAAAAGTGGGGGGGGGGGCTCCCCCGGCCCCTGTGTTCTACGGGCCTGCTAAAATTCTTTATCAGACTAAACTTTGTACATTTTTTTTATTTGTTTCGAATAAATCCTGATATAAATGACTTACTTTAAGGATAAATCAATCTGTGCATCTTTTTTTTAAATTTCAATTAACGGCTCTTGCTTAAAATATTTACATTTGATTTAATTTCGTTCAGAATTTTCCATTAATTTTTATAGCTTATGTCTGACCTAAGTTACCTGGTTCAGAGATTACCTTTATCATTATTTTAATTAGTTTTATTAACGGCGATGCAAATCAAAAATAATTTAAAAAAAAAAAAACAACGTTCTAAATTTTTTTTTAAAAAAAGTGCAATCACTCGTGAAGCATCTTTTTTTAAATAAAATTTTCTTTTTAAATTATAGAATATATTTACAATCTTTTGAAAATTTTCTTCTTTCTTTCTTATAAAAATCACTTCTTTCCTCAATCAGTAAACTCTGGTTAGAACTCAGCTGTATAGATATCTTATGTAGTGCGCTTTTCTATCGAATTGAATTAAACATATTTTTTGCAATATATATACAATGGGATTGGGCACAAGTTCTTAAAACTTATTTCGCCCTCTCCCTACATGAGAAGTCTATAAAGTTTGAGTTACATGTGTTACACAGTTTTAGAAATAAATATGATAAACTCACAACATGAATTTGTAAACTGCAAGAAAATTTATGATATACAAATGCAATACATAAACAATTACAATATATCATTTAAATCTGCCAGAGTGCTGAATATATGAATGCACAATGGAAAAAATGATATACATTTTCAGCAACACTTAGTGAAGTATCCCCCCCCCCCCACTGTAAAGTATATGGGTGTCAACAATATAAACCTTATCAAATCTCAAAAACTTATCGAAAAAATCTTTCCTGGCCTTAGTATAATTAGAACAAGAGAAAAACTAATGAAACAAACATGTCAAAAATGTACTTAAGGACGTTCGATCCTGAGCTTTTTAGCAGATTTTGGTCTGGAGGTTTATTTCTAAAATTCTGCATTATTTTTAAGTTCTAACATTAAATCTGGATTCTACAATGCGAATTATACTATATCCAATGAAAAAACCGCGATTAAATTCCATTCAAATAGGATTATGCCAGGAACTATGTTTTGTGGCGGAAGATTTTTAAGAAGAAAATGATCATTTTTTTCCCTTTCGAAATATATACTGTACTTCTAAAGTTTAGATTCCTATTTTTCCATGCTGGTTGCACACAGAGCTATTTTGTGCATTGAAATGTTTAATGCTGGTTCTAAAATATTAATTAAATCAGTTTTTTGTGAATTCTATCATCATATTGTGACAAATATAGAAAATATATTCTGAAACTCCAGGAAAAAATTGAGCCAATTTTATCATAAAATTAACAGTTTTTTAGTAATATCTAAAAAATAACATCATAGACCTCCACTTTTGATTTTCTTTTCTGAATATATAAGATAACTCTGATCAATCTACTTAAATTCAGCAAAAGTTTAAGACTTTAAAATATTTTTCTTGCTTGTTAAATTTTTAATGCCCGAAAAATGACATTTTTTGAGTGCAGAAAGGTCAAATAATTGATTATGCGAAGCAATTTGAAATTTTTTTTGGTCACAATTTTAATGTGTCTTTTTTAAGAGAGAATAATAGCATACTTTGTCCCATGATTTATTTGGATAAAAAATATTGGAGGGAAAACGTCGAAGATATTATTTTTGATTAAGACACAAATTAAGTGCAAAAAGGTCATTTTAAATGTACTGTAGCGCCAAAAGAAGCATATTGACCCCCATTTTTTGTTTTGATTTTTAATTAAGCTATGTGTGTAGAAGCTAAAAATATACTTGACAAAAAAGTTTAAGACTTTAAATATCAGGATCCAGCGTCGTTAAATCTACTTTATATGATTATTTATAAAGACATAAATATAAACAAGAAAATGTCTTTCTTTGTTTGTTAGTACTAGGATTAACGGTTGTACATATGTAGCTATTGCAAGAAAAAATTACAATACCCACTAATGCGGATTAAGTATTTTTTCTGAGCTGCAACGTTAATTCCTGTACTAACAAACAAAGAAAGCATTTAATTACATTTTCAACAATAAAATACTGTTATTTATTACATTTTCAACAGTGAAATACTGTGATTTATTCATTGTATAAAAGTGATATTCTCTCACAGTATGAAAGGATACCAAAGTGATATTCTCTCACAGTGTGAAAGGATATCAAAGTAAGTAAAATATAATTTCTGGCCTGTAATAAGATTGAGAAAGTAATTAAATCATCTTGAATGAGACTAAAACTGCCAATTTCTTCCCAAATATGTTGCTAAAATCCATATTACAATGTTTTCAATCTCAAAACTGCTAAGCTATGATGTCTCAACTGCTCAATTATGACGTCGCAGCCTATGACACATTGTTAAGAAAAGACAGAGGCAAAGAGAAAATCAAAGAAAATGTAATAAACAGAAAATTCAATGTTTTGTAGTTGAATAAGGAATTTATTTCACTCGTGAGAAAGGATTTTTTTTTATATTTTAACTTGTGCTTCGCACTCGTGAAAATATAAAAAAAATCCTGTCCCACTCGTGAAATAAATTCCATATCCAACTACAAAACATTGAATATCCTCTATTTATTTATTGAATAAAAGTAATTTTCTGTCATAGTGTGAAAGAATATCAAAGTGATATTCTATCACAATGTAACAGAATATCAGAAGTGCAGCAAAACACTCGATCAATTTTCTCTTCCTTTCACAAAGAATGTTGTAAAAAGTACTCCCTTGTCTGTAATGAGAGAGAGAGAGAGAGAGAGAGAGAGTATATAAACCATCCTGACAGAGACTAAAACTGCCAAAGTTTCTCCAGCTAAATGTTTACAATGCTTCAATCTTATAATTGCTAAACCGTTCAACTATGACGTCAAAGCCTATGACACTGTGTTACAAAAGACTGATGCACACAGAAAATCAAAGAAAATGTAATAAACAGCAGGAAGCAATTTCAGTTGGGGGGGGGGGGGGGCACAGCTATACATTTTCGGGACACTATCAACTATCAAAAATTCCTTGACAAGGGGGAAAAAAGGTCATCAGACATCAGACATTTTTATTGAGGGGGTACATGCATATAATAGCTATGTTTTCTATAGTAATCTATTTATCGGCAAAATTATTGAAGGGGGGAGGGGCACGCCCCCTCCCCCTAAGGACATGAACAGAAAATTCAATGTTTTGTAGTTGAATATGGAATTTATTTCACTCGTGAGACGGGATTTTTTTTGGTGGATATTTTCAGTCGTGCTTCGCACTCGTGAAAATATCCAAAATTCTGTCCCACTCGTAATATAAATTCCATATCCAACTACAAAACATTGAATATCCTGCATTTATTGTTTAAATTAAGTTCGAGAATTTTCCCGATAAGCTTTTAAAAATATATTAAATGTATCAAATTCTATTCCTGTAAAACTATGCTTGCTCCTTGTTGATTGCTGTAAGTGATGCTATATTTAAATTCAGATGGGAAATTTAATTTGGAGAGCACTAGAGGAAGTTTTGAACTGAGAAGCAAGTTGTTTACAGTCGTATTGGAGACTTCTATAAAACAACGTCGCAAACTTTTTTTCCTGCGTTAAAGATATGTTAAAAATTTAATTTGAAAAAAATTTCAAAATTTTTAGTTGGTTATTCTGGCTTAAACTTCACTAGGCAGTGCACCAGACTCACGGGAAATTTCTCTATCGTATGGCGAATAAAGCGAGATTGGGATTTGTTTACTGATATAATTATTTACGGAAATGTAATTCCATACAACTGTTTCAAGTCTACATTTTCCATTAAATGTGTCCTACCTAATTTGAACTTGAACTTTATCAGAAAAAAATTGACATAACCAAACGCCATGACATACAGGAAAATATAAAATATGCTTGGTTTATTTAGGGATATGCAATGTATCCATGAATATTCGCTTTGCATTAATTTCGTAATTCACACGAAACCGCTATTAATGAAAATTATTAGATAAATCTAACCAGTATTAAATCATTTATTCCTGGTTATTACCTCACTCTGTTAGTGATAGTTCTTCGTATTAACCTCCTTAAAAGTAAATTTTAACAAATTTATTATTATTGTTGAAGTTTGAAAATAATTTAGAAGACCGTCTTGTCCCTGAAAACAACATATCGTGAGTTCTAAACAATACTTTTCTGATAAAGAACACTTTCTATATTGAAAGTTTTCTTGTGTTTGTTTGGTAAGATAACATCTCTGGAGAATACTAGTCAATGAATCAGAAAGTTTTATTCTTCATGACGAAAATGGTCTTCTCGGCTGAGATGGTTATCAAACTACTGTGCTGAAATGAATTAATTTAATTTAATTAAAGTTGTGTCCACTGAACTGGACATTGACGGAACAACCCCCCGGGGTACGTTGGGTTGACATACAAACTTTTTAAGAATCTACGTACACACATATCGCGAAACCTAATTTACGTGACTGTCGATCCACCCACGTAGGTATATAAAACAGGCTCGATACCCAAACAAAAATCAGTTTAACTCCAAACAAAAACTTTCATTGTAATCCAAAAATACCTACATGTTTTTCGTCATATAAAGAGGTACTTCTGTTTCAATTTCATTTACCCAGCTGAGATGGGGACCAATATGAGGGTGCTGAGTTTGCTGGCGATTGTCATTCTGCAATGCCTTGTTGTTCATGCCCACAGAGACAGAAATAAAAGTAAGTGTTACGTAAGGAAAACAAGATGCATTAGTATAGAATTGCTATTACTTAATTCAGTAGAATTTTAAACAATAATATTAAAGATAAGATGAAAGTTAATTGATACTTAAAAGTAAAATGTTTAACAGGCAACTTAAAAAAATGTTTAAATTTTTCGAACCTTAGAAAAGAAACGAACAATATTATTTTCTTACTTGTTTTTTATCCATATAAGAAAATAAAATTAATGAAGCATATTTAACAGTTAAGTAGTATCGGTTTTGAAAGGTGGGGTGTGTGTGAAAAAAAGACAAATTACCTGAAAAATCTTTGACAAGCAAAAGAAAAAAGGAAACTGTCAAAAGTAGGATATCATATTACGGGGGGGGGGTGTCAATGTTTGTACCAATTAAATTATTAATACATTACCATGGAACGATTTGACCATATTGCAGCAAAACGTATGTGCGCAAGGGGGGTGGGGTGGGGTGGGGGGCTTTTCGACAGTAAAAGGTTAGGTTCGGGAAAAAAAGATGGGATCACCCCCCCCCCCCCCATACTACGTGCCTGTTTAATACCAATAATGAAATGAAGAAAGATGCTATATTTAAATGAACAAGAGGGCATTATTTAAATGTCACAGTTTTAATAATTTTTCCTAAATAATAGAAAAAAAAATCGCATTACATCCCCGATTTCAATTTCGCTAAGTCATTAAAATTGCTTTGGGAAGCTCCATTTCGTGAGGGAAAATATGCAACATTATTTCGTGACGTCTCGTTCTTGGATCGAATATCATTCACTTTGCGCTCCAGTATCACGGAAGTTAAATTACTGCATTGTTTTCATGCTGCGTGTGTGTCCTTGACATGTTGTAAGGTTAAGAGACTTGATCTTTCTGTTTTCATAAAGGGGGGATTAAAGCAACGTATTAAAGTCATTACATGTCTTAAATGTGCAATTAAATAGGGGGGAAACGTGTTTACCTGCCAAGTGAAAAAATTGCGTAGACCCCTGTTGCGCTAGACTTCACTGAATAGCCTAAATCCTGATCATTCTGATTTATAGAAAGAAATTAAATTTTATTTTTCTGTAATGAAAGTTGTACTCTTGACCAAATTGGGGAATTAACATCTGTTCTGGGATCACTTTGAGCTTTGAATTGAAATAACTTTAAAGTTAACAATTCGTATATACATGTATATTGAAAGATTGTATCTAGGAGTAGTATACAACCTTACATAATTAAGCCAGGTCGTATGGATGTCCCTTTGTTATCTTCAGATATAACTTGGGGCATTCGTGCCTTGTTAATTTTCTTTGAAATATTCTAATCAACTAAAATATCGACGGGAAGAATTAAACAGTCTTCCGTGACCATTGTTATTCTTGGCCTATCGTAATGACCTTTTTTTTTTACCCAATCGCTATGACAGTCTGACATACTTTCATGCTTTCCATTAAAGCTCGAGATTTATTTAACGTACAAAGATTTAAGTTTGTTTGTAATTAATTGGCAGACCAAACAAAACTTGCTATTCCTGCCTACTGGGCTTTCTATTTTAGTTTTTGCCTCCATCAAAGATTAGTTTTCCTCGACTGAAAATAGTAAAAGACGTCACAATAACATTTTGGTAATGTCGTAATGCAAAGCCAGGTTTTGTTTTGCATGGGCCGAATAAGGTTTTAATGAGTAATCTGAAGGAGAAAAATAAATACAAAAAACAATTAGCTGACTGAATGTGTTACTGTTAATCCTTTCTTAGGCAATTATTTTTTAAAACGCCACAAACTGGATTTTAGGAGTGATATTATGAGAAACGATCTTCGTCTTTCGGTGTCATTGAATATTTATGAATTTATAAATTTAATACATAGGTCTTGGACTGAACGCTCCTCTTTTGCTATAAGAACCTGATAATATGAGAACAGTATAAATTATATCTTATTTTAGTGAATAATGTTTACGCATACCCATCTTATATATGTTAAATATTCTACATCTATAATATTTCACTTTTAAATGTACATATTTTCTCAATAATTAGAATAATTAAGCATCTCCTTTATCATGATGTATGATTTCTTACATTTATAGTCGTTGGTAAAACAGAAGCAAGACAGATCCTTAATGAGCTTAGACAGAGGCACGACTCACACATCTCAAAGGTGAGGGTTTTTTCCCCTTAAGATTAGAACAAATGGTTTAATCTGGAAATTCTTCATTATACTATAACGAACCTCCCAGAGACACGCAAAAATTTCATCGTTTTGCCCGATAAAACCAGCAGATATTTAAATCAAATATTAATTAAGCACTGAATTAAAACATTTTTGACGCACACTGTGTCTGACGGCTCCGCTGAAAAATTGAATTAGGCGCATTTGTGTGATGTGAAAAAAAAAAAATCAGCACTGTCGATCTTGTCATTACGGTGGTACATTTAGGACACATAATTATTTTTTTTTAAGATATCAGGAAAAATTTATCTCGTGAAAACGAAAATTATCTCGTGAAAACGAGATAATATCTCGTGAAAACGACATACATGTGTTATCCTGTGAAAACGACATATTATCTCGTTTTCACGAGATATTACGAGATATTATCTCGTGAAAGCGACATATTTTCTCTTTTTCACGAGATATTATGTCGTGAACACGAGATATTATCTCGTGAAAACGAGATATTATGTCGTGAAAACGACATATTATCTCGTGAAAGCGACATATTTTCTCTTTTTCACGAGATATTATGTTGTGAACACGAGATATTATCTCGTGAAAACGAGATATTATGTCGTGAAAACGAGATATTATCTCGTTAAAACGAGAAATTATCTCGTTAAAACGAGAAATTATCTCCTGAAAACGAGAAATTATCTCGTGAAAAATAGATATTATCTCCTGTAAACGACATATTATCTCGTGAAGACGAGATATCTTGTGAAAACGACATATTATCTCGTGAAACGAGAAATTATCTCGTGAAAACTAGATATTTTCGTGTGGAAACGTCTTATCTTGTGAAAACGACATATTATCTCGTGAAATTCGACATATTATCTCGTGAAAATATTATGTCGTTTTCACGAGATAATATCTCGTTTTCACTAAATAGTATGTCGTTTTCGCGAGATAATCTCTCGTTTTCACGACATAATATGTCGTTTTCACGACATAATATCTCGTTTTCACGAGATAAATTTTCTTTGTATCTTAAAACAAGAGGCCCATAGGCCACATCGCTCACCTGAGCACATTGGCTAGGCAAAAGCACAAATCAGTTCAGTATTGAAAAGATTACCGGGGGGGGGGGGGGGGAGGGGTTACTTGAGAAGATTTAAAAAAAAAATTCCCATATATTCCTTTGTAAAAATTTGATCCCCCATTGTGGTTCCTCCCTATCCCAGGGGTCATCATTTGAACTTGAATCTACACTACCTGAGGATGCTTCCATATCAATATGACTAAACATAGCTTTCCTGTTCTTGAGAAGAACTATTTTTATGCGCCCGGATCGATAGATCGGGGGCGCATATTGTTTTGTCCTGTCTGTCTGTTGTCTGTCTGTTGTCAACTTTAACCTTCGCCATAACTTTTGAACCATGAGAGATAGAGACTTCATATTTAATATGCTTACTCCACTAATTAAGCTCTTTCAAATGGCACCAAGTTCAATGACTTTGTGACCTTGACTGTGACCTATAAGCTAAAAATAGCCTTTTTGAACCATCGCCATAACTTTTGAACCATAAGAGACAGAGACTTTATATTTAGTATGCATACTCCACTAATTAAGTTCTTTCAAACGACATCAAGGTCAATGACCTTGTGACCTTGACTGTGACCTCTTTGCTAAAAATAGCTTTTTCGAACTTTGTTGCTGCCGGGTGTATAGTGTTTCACAAACACATCTTGTTCCTATATATTTCTATGTAAAACTTTGAACCTCCATTGTGGCCCCATCCTACCCACGGGGGTCATGATTTGAACAAAATAGAATCTACACTACCTGAGGATGCTTCCATATAAATATGACTCATCGTGGCTTTGCTGTTCTTGAGAAGAAGATTTTTAAAGATTTTTCCTATATATTTCTATGTAAAACTTTGATCCTCCATTGTGGCCCCGCCCTACCCCCGGGGGTCATGATTTGAACAAACTTGAATCTACACTACCTGAGGATGCTTCCATATCAATATGACTCATCATGACTTTGTTGTTCCTGAGAAGATTTTTCAAGATTTTTCCTATATATTTCTATGTAAAACTTTGATCCTCCATTGTGGCCACGCCCTACCCCCAGGGGTCATGGTTTGAACAAATTTGAATCTACACTACCTGAGGATGCTTCCATATAAATATGACTCATCACGACTTTGCTGTTCTTGAGAATGAGAATTTTAAAGATTTTTCTTATATATTTCTATGTAAAACTTTGATCCTCCATTGTGGCCCCGCCCTACCCCCGGGGGTCATGATTTGAACAAACTTGAAGGTACACTACCTGAAGATGCTTCCACATGAGTTTCATCTTTCCTGGCCCTATGGTTTTTGAGAAGAAGATTTTTAAATGATGCATTTATTTTTTTTCACTTATTCTTAATTATCTCCCCTTGAAAGAGGGCGTGGCCCTTCATTTGAACAAACTTGAATCCCCTTCACCCAAGGATACTTTGTGGCAAGTATGGTTGGAATTGGCCCAGTGGTTCTGGAGAAGTAGATGAAAATGTGAAAAGTTTACGACAACAACGACGACGCCAACGACGACGACGACAGACAACGGACAAAGAGCTAGGTTCACTCTATGCATAAAATGACCCTGTAGATAAACCAATTTATCAACTTACACCTTATGTCCCTTTCTCAACATCAATATAAAGTAGAGACTTGGCGCTTTCAGTTTGTATATAAAAATTTCCTCTAAAGAGTCCAGGTACTGGAAAACAGGTTGTGTGAATTTGCAATGTTCTTGAATTTTGCAGAAAACAGGTGAAATTGAGAGTCTTCAACAAAGAACTAAAATATGAGCACACCCCTCGATCCAAAAATTAAAGTATGTTTTATCATCTTAATAAGCAGTTCTTTCATAATACATTTGCACATTTTGGATCGGAGGTTGTGCTGTATACGAAATATTGAAAAATAGCATCATATTTTGGCCATTTTTAAAGAAATATTCGGGATATGTGAATAATGACGCAATTCATGGCGTCATAATGCATTGACTAGCACGAAAATTACGTCATTTTTAGTAGAAATTCAGTCACCAAGTGTTCAAGTGAAATTTATTACCTTGTCGACTAAAACTATGCAGTTTTAATTTTTCAGAAATTTGCAGGGCGAAAAAAGTCCCTAAGTGGCCCCTGCTCTTTTGATCTGAAAAGCTCACTTGAGCCTTTGGCTCATGTGAGCTAAAAAATAACTACGTGTCCTAAATATACCACCGTATGTTATGGCACATTAATAGTCAAGAAATGTTAATTTAAATCTGATATTTATATTTTCAGATAAATTTCTTTATAGATTAAGTTTGTCTTTGCTAGTTTTAATTAGTAAATTGTACATGTACATGTATAGAACAGCCGGTTCCCCTAATTCAAAAGTTCTCGTTTGCTCTTGGTGAAAATGTAGTGCAAGGATTGATTTAGAAAAAGAAAGTGTTTTGTGTTTTATTTCTGTTATTTAAAATTTTAGTTTTACTACAGTTAAGAAAATACAAACAGAATAAGGAATATCACCGTTCAATTCAAGGTTTCATGCAATGACTGTATAACTGAAAGGTTTGGAATTTGTCAAAAAGAACCCTTTTTAAGAAATATTTTTCTAAAGAAAAAAAAATGGAACAAAGTTGCGCTTATGTCATGTTCTAAATTTAGAATTTACCGGGTGGGAGTAAATACAAAATTTAGAACATGACAACTTGTCATGTTCTAAATCTTGTATTTACTTCCACCCGGTAAATTCTAAATTTAGAACATGACACTTACAGTGTTTGTTGGGATATATTTATTGATAGATTAACTTGTCATGAAGGTCTTTTTATTTTTATCCAGAGGTCAGCAGACATTAATTTCGGACAGGAAGATGAGGATATTGACCAGTTGTTGCTTCGAGCTTTAAAGAAGGAGGAGGAAGAGAATGGCGATAGCGAAGACAACAACGACGACAGTGGCAAGGGAGGCAACTCTAATGATGGGGCTAAACTTATAGAAGAAGCTCTTAAGGTAGGGAAAGACAGGAAGCAGAAATCTTTACACAGGAAGTAGACACCCTTTACACATGCGCGGATCAGAAGAGGGGGGGGGGTGGGTCCGGAGTTTTTAAGTGGAAGTACACAGCAAATGAAAAATGACTTTGGACCCCTCCCCCCCCCCCCCCCCCCAAAAAAAAATGTTGACCCCACAACCAACACCATGAAATAGTTTTTTCACTGGAGAATGGATTTTAGGTTATTTATTTATTTATTTTTGTTTATTTTGTTATTTACTTGTCAAGAAATTTCTGGGTTGAAATATTTTTTGACTGTGATGCCCCCCCCCCCCCCCTGGAAAAAATCCTGGATCCGCGCCTGTTTACAGACACCTTAAGATTGAATAATGATGCTCTTTGTGAGTTTTCTATTTTTTTTTATCCTAAAAGCATCCGGTAAGTAAAGTCTAAAATATAATTTTTAAAGCATAACACGCACTTATATGTATCATTTGAAGCATATGTGTTTTCATTATGGTTTGCAATTGCATTCAAACATTCGCTTTGTTGTTGTATTGTATGTAATTAATACATATTTAAATTAACTACATATTTTGCCTATTTAATTTCAGCACTTAAAATTAAATCAGGGAATCACATCACTAGATTTTTCCATTAACATCACTAGAGTTTTCAATTAACGATTATGAGAACCTAAGGAGAACTTAATATAATCTGATTTTTTTTTTCCAAAAATTGTTTTACGGTCGAACAATCCCCTGATAAGAGAGATAACTTCCCAAGAAAATAATCCTAAAATATCTGATAGTTTGTCTTACCAGAGTTTAGTAGTACAAACCATTATATAGTCAGTTCGTTCAAAATCACTATAAGACGCAAACCTTCTATTTTCATTTGCTATCATTTTTGATAGTAGCTAATAACATTTGATCTAAAACATTTGCACCTAGTTTTTTCAACTGTTACAAATTGGGATATTACTATTTCTTAATAAACAATTTAAAAGCTACATTAACTTGTGCTGTACCATATAAATAATATTTTTAATTTATGTTATGATAATGAATTGTTGCCTTTTCTGTTCATTCTATTTATTTCACATCATGGTTAGACATAAAATTTTTGTCTGAAAAAGTAAGCACCGCTTATTATTTCAAACTATTTTCCATTTGAATCTAATTTTAATTAATTTAATTTGTGAAATTTAGAGCAGAGGGTCGTTACATCTTAAAAAGAATGTCAAGATTTATCGGCCCTCAGAAAAGGAAGAAAACTCTTACTTCGATACATTGCTATTACCGGGTTTTATATCAATAAATTGTCAAATTTAATGATGGAATAATCTTATTCACTCATAAGTATTTATAATCGACCTGAAAGATGAGATCTGCTATGTTGATTTTGTTTAGAGATATGTCTAATGTTTACAGGGTAACGTCGACCCAGATTCTGACGTGGTAAACCTACTAGAGAGTATGTTTGTGGATGAGGGAAACAGGCACAATCTACACGTAAGTCTCAGAAACACTTCCGGTTCAGTCTATAAACTTTCTAAACCATGATCTTTGTTTCTACATTTTTGTTGACTAAATGAACATTCTTCATTCAGTTGCTTTTTTAATACACATGTATATCTGTGAAATAATTGCACAGGATATTATCTTAAAAGATTTAAAGATATACGTATTTGGCATAATATAAGATTTATTGAGACTAATATTGGGCCATTGAAGGCGTACGAGTAAAGAATAACACACAAAAGAAGAAAGTCAAAATTGATAGCAGCAACATGGCATTAAACAAGAGACCCAAGGGCCACATCGCTCACCTGAGCACTTTGGCTACTGCTAGGGGAAAAAAATAAGTTCAGTATTAAAAAGTTTAAATATATAAGTGGTCCCACCCTACCCACTTCCCCAGGATTCTTCCATATTCCTATGTAAAATTTTGATCTTCTATTGTGGCCCGTCCTTCCCCAGGGAGTCATGATTTGAAACTTGAATCTACACTACACTGTATCTGAGGATGCTTCTGTATTAATATGACTAATCATAGCTTTGCTAGCGCTGTTCTTTAGAGAATGGGTTTAAAGAAATCCTATATATTCCTATGTAAAAATTTGATCGCCTGTTGTGACCCCGCCATACTTTCAGGGGTCATTATTTGAACAAACTTCCATCTATGCTATCTTAGAATGCTTCTGTATTAATATGATTAATCATAGCTTTGCTGTTCTTGAGAAAATTTAAACTTGATGTTTCCTATATATTCCTATGTATAACACTGAGCCCTGTTGTGGTCCCACCCTATCCCCGGGGGTCATGCCATTAGCTCAGGTGAGCTGAAAAAGGAACTAAATACAGAGGATTATATACATGTAGCAGATGGGGATTATCTAAATATTTTGCATATAATTAATGAAACAACTTTAATAAATGATATTGTTCTTATAATATTTCAAATGTCACTTAACGTATATCGTTAAAACTTAAATGCACGATAAAACATTTTTATTTCAGCCTGATGGTATTGATAAGATAGCTCTTAAGAAAGGGAAAGTCTTTGGTGACACACACGACAATCATAGACTAACACAGCAACAACTCGATGATTTAAAAAACAACGTAAGTCAGCGAATTCAAAGATTAATTAACAGTAATTGAATTTTTCTGTTGAGTCTTTATATATGTAATATAAGATTATTACATCACGTCAGCCCCCACCTCCCACTCCCACTGTTTTATTTCAAGTCAAACATTTAGACACCGAGATATGATAGTATGATGGCCGTATCTATTGTCAACAATTTTGGTATATTTTGTTTGCTTGTTTGATATTCTGGTGGATAATGTCTAACTTCAGAAAATGTGTTTATTTTAGCACCGTGTCACTGGCATTTTCTGATTAACATTATCATATCTTACAAACGGTAAATAAAGTCAAGAGCTTTCAATTCCAGTGTCTTTCTGAATTAGCCTTGAACTTTGACCTTGAAATAGGTAACACATAATTTATCTGTTTTGATGGTAGCGGAACTTTATTATTATTGTCATGAAATGAGACATTTTCAATGCACCTTGAAATTGTTATTTTATTTTAATGCTTTGTTTTTGGAACTTTGATCGTCAGATGTCGATAAATTATGAAATATTTTCAGTATTGCCTTTTAGATTAAGCTTAACCTTTCATTTTGCATTGGTAAATTAGTTGCAATCTATTTTGTTTAGTGAACTGGTAATTCATATATCTGATGATGTGTTATCATATAGTCAATTTTGTGCATTCTGTCTTGTTGCTTTTCTTCGAGTTTTTTCTTCAAAACCCTTTGTTTATTTGTTTGTTTAAGACCCTTTGAGAATTTTTCACTCATATTAAAACACCACCACTTGCCGCAGGAGGGCTACAAATTTAGATCTGTACTCGGCACTTACTGCCTTTGAGCAGTGAGGGATGTTTTTCGTGTCAGTACCTACTGCGAAACAGGACCTCGGTTTATACGGTCTCATCCGGAGGACCGGTCTCCACGTCCAGCAGTGGGATCCGACCCGCGATGTAAGGAACAACTCATTACTGGACACGTCTGTAGAGCAAGCGCTCTAACCACTGTGCCACGCGGGCGACCAAACTCCTTATATGCTTTTCCAAGAGTACACTGTATTTGACATTGATATTTACGCGAATCTATTTTCTTGGTCATTTATCGATTTTATACATTTTTAAAACTCGCCTATGTAAGATTCTACTACCTCCTCCCTGTGTCAGTAGGTAATTACCTAGCTAACAGAAGAGGTACCTTTAAAAAATAGTGGGAAAGCAGAAAAAAAGCAGAAAAACCATTTATGGATAACTGCTAGGGTGGTGCTCAGTTTGACACAACACAACACAACTCATTGTTAAGGAATTGGAATGGTCATTTATTTAACTAATAAATGACAAAGTATTTTGCCAAGAAAAACAAATAAAACAGTTAAAAATACAACAAACTAAAAGCACAATACCATAATTCAATAGAGGGATTTGTGGCTTGTTAAAAATTCCAAAAATGCCACAACCCTAAAAATAGAATATAAAACATCATACACACAGTTTTGTTACATTTTGTCACGGAAAAGCAGGATTTCTTTTCTTTTTTGGCAGAAAGTGTTCTTTCGTGAAAAAGTGGAATTAAAGCGGTGCAGTCTGGCGCCTCCGTTTGAAGTGGCTTTTTAATTTCTAAAATTGAAAAAAATTGAATTTTATTTATTTGTGTTTTTTAATTATTTATTCAGAAATTCAGGAATATCTGTAATCAATATCTTTTAAAAATTACTTGAATTTGTTTACTTAGACAGATTTTGTCTAGCTGATGGGACAACCGACTATAGATATTGGTATTTATATATTTGAATGTTTTTTATTATTTATAAATTTATGTTACCTTGTTTTATATATTTAGAGTGGTGGAAGAAAGAGAAGGAATTTCTTAAAATCGGCTCCACTTTGGCCAGATAACATTATTCCATACACAATCGACAGCAGTTTATGTGAGTTATATGTGAAACAGAAGTACATGTATAATGTTAATCAAACATCAATGTTTTGCTGCATTTTAAGTATCATTCTAATCTGCTCTGCAATAAAGCAGTTATTTCGAAACTTATTATGATATCAAATACTGTTTTACAAAGTCCACACGATGTTTTACTGGAAATTAATACTAACTGCAGAACTGTAGCTCTCCGAAAAGAAAAAAATTGACAGACCGGAGAGCTACAGAGCCACCCATAGAAAAAAACTGTATATTTATTGCGCACAAGAAGTGCGCCGTTTCTCGATTTATTTCTCCGTATTTTTAAACTGCAATCTCAAAATATTACTAATCGTGTGTTCCTAACACATTTTCGCACTATTCCCACATCAAAACATTTCCTATAACCGTTGATTATAGCTCTCCTGGGCCTGAAATTAAAACCATCCAAAATTTCGCCTGTTAATACCGCCATTTTGGGTGGCTAGACAATTCGGCCAAACGCGCTTCGTAAAGATGTCAACTACAAGAGTAGTTGATAGAGGTCTAAGGAATTTGTTGAAATCGAGCTTTTGTGCAGTTGAGGTAAGAAACTGGAGAAATAAACGCAGAACCGAGCGCAACTTTTTGTGCGCAATAAATATACAGTTTTTTTTCTATGGGTGGCACTGTAGCTCTCCGGTCTGTCAATTTTTTTTTCGGAGAGCTACAGTTCTGCAGTGAATGTTTGGAATTTCTCTCTCTCTCTCTCTCTCTCTCTCTATATATATATATATATATATAAAAGAATTTATGAGGTCCAGGCGCGGATCTAGGAATTTTTTTTTACGGGGGGGGGGGGGGGGTCATTACCCAATGAATTTTATTGACCAAAAAAGTAAACCTTGTTCTAACCTACTTCGTTTGGGGTGGGGTATGGTAAGTCGAGGGGTTCGTATTTTCTAAACGGGGTCCAATGTCATCATTTTCTTTCTATAGAAATACATGTATGAAAAGTCTGAAAATTCCAAGGGGGTCCCGAGTCCCCCATCCGCTAGAGCACATAGTGATATATTGGTATATTTAATTTGTAGACATGGCATACTAAAGAGTTTTATAACCATTGCTCAATTTCATTTGTAAAATCTTGAATGCAAAGCTTCAGTCTCAAAAGTGTGTTCTGTATTTTTTTTTTTTTCAGAAACCCCCTTTTTTTTTTTAGAACATTGACATTGAAACAAGTTAGATTCATCTTTTGAAATTTTCTTCTTTCAGCCAACAAGCAAAGAAACGTGGACGTTATAAATAAAGGGATCAAGCAGTTTGCAGACTACACGTGTTTGAAATGGGTACCCCAAGGCTCCACCGAGGCTCAGAAACTTACCCATAGTTCCTACATCGAGTTCTTCTCTGGAAGGTACTTTTTTTTTTTAGGTCACCTGAGTCACTCAGGTGACCTATTGCCATCTGTTTTCGTCCGTCGTCGTCCGTCGTGCGTCGTCCGTCGTCCGTCGGTCGTAAACTTTTGAACATTTTCAGCTTCTTCTCTTGAACCGCTGAACCAATTTCAACCAATTTTGGCATATAGCATCAATGGGTGAAGGGGTACAAAAATGTGAATTTCATGGTCCCTGCCTCCCTGGGGCCTGAGGGGTGGGGCTAAAACCATCAAAATTAGTGCTATCTTTAAAAATCTTCTTCTTTACTCCTGGGCATCAAGCAGTCAAACTGTTGGCATCATTGTAATAAGCATTGAGCCCTCTACCAAAATTGTGAAATTCATGGCCCCAGGGTCAGGGGTTCTGGTGCTAGGGCGGGGCTATATAGATCATATAGTGAAAGTGCATTATTTCTTTGAAAATTTTCTTCTCTGCTCCTGGGTATTATTTAAACAAATACATAGTTATGATAAGCAAGAGTGACTTTACCAAAATTGTGAAATTCATAGCCTCAGGGTCAGGGGTTCTGGTGCTAAGGTGGGGCTATATAGATCATACAGTGAAAGTGCATTATTTCTTTGAAAATCTTCTTCTCTACTCCTGGGTATTATTTAAACAATACATAGTTATGATAAGCAAGAGTGACTCTACCAAAATTGTGAAATTCATAGCCCCAGGGTCAGGGGTTGTGGTGCTAGGGTGGGGCTATATAGATCATATAGTGAAAGTGCATTATTTCTTTGAAAATCTTCTTCTCTACTCCTGGGTATTATTTAAACAAATTAAATACATAGTTATGATAAGCAAGAGTGACTCTACCAAAATTGTGAAATTCATGGCCCCAGGGTCAAGGGTTCTGGTGGTAGGGTGGAGCTATATAGATCAAACAGTGAAAGTGCATTATTTCTTTGAAAATCTTCTTCTCTACTCCTGGGTATTATTTAAACAAATTAAATACATAGTTATGATAGGCAAGGGTGCTTCTTCCAAAATTGTGAAATTCATGGCCCAAGGATCAGGGGTTCTTGTGTTAGGATGGGGCTATATAGATCCTATAGTGAAGGTGTATTATTTCTTTGAAAATCTTCTTCTCTGCCCCTGGGTATTATTTAAACAAATTAAGTACATTGTTAGAATACGCAAGGATGCTTCTTTCAAAATTTTGAATTTCATGGCCCCAGGGTCAAGGGTTCTGGTGAAAAGGTGGGGTGGGGGGGGTGGGGGGGTTCTATTGATTATATAGTGAAAAAGCAAAATTTCTTTGAAAATATTCTTTTCTGCTCCTGGTTAAAAAGCAAAGAAGCTAAGTGTATAGTTATGATGAGCAAGAGTGCTTCTTCCAGAGTAGTGAATTGCGTGACCCCTGGTGTAAGGGTGGGGCTCTTGATAATATAATGAAAATGCATTAATTCTATTAAATAATCCTGTCTACTCTTAGTGTTAAGCAGATAAACAAAGTGATTACTTATGATGAGCAAACTTCTGGTCCCAGGGTGAGAGGATCTGGTGTTTCTCGCTGGGGGGGGGGGGGGGGGGGCTCTATTGATAATATAGTGAATCTGTAATAAAAATGCATTATTTCTTTAAAAATCTTCTCTGCACCTGGGCATATCAGAGGCAAAAAGAGTAAAAGTTTTAATAAGGAAGAGTATTTTTACCAGATTTTTGAACATCTGGACCATTTGGTCAAGTGTTCTGGTCCTGGCCAGGGCTCTATTAATTTGTATTCTACTGAGAGGAGTTATTCCCCTTTGCCATTTACTTTTGATAATTAATCACTGTAAATAATGTACTTGAAAGGTTAATAGAATAAGAGAAATATGCAAGAATTTTTATTGTATAATACAAAAAGTACTTTCATAGTTTTAATGATCAGGTATACTTGTAAGTAATAGATAAATAAAAATGAGACAGAAATAACTTGTCTTTTTAAATGTTCATCAAAGACCAAGAAGATTTCAACAAGGAATTAAAATGGTACAGAAGCACTGATAGTGATAAATGGGGAACAGATTAGAATCTAATGTATGAACTGTTAATGAATACTAGACTAATTATTTTGTTGATCCTGATCACCCTATTTTTCTTGCTTTTGGGCAACAAAGCTTCACCTTTCAGTTCATTTTATACTCTATGGATCCTCTAAATTGTATTATACTCAGGTGGCCGTTAAGGCCCTTGGGCCTCTTGTTTTTTTTTTTTTGCTTTGTCTAATAATATATATTTTAGTTTTCTATTATTATTGCCATCATTATTTTGGATAGCGAATATTTGAACGTTGATATAAATCAGTGAAGATATGGAATTTTCCAATCTATTTTATATAAGGATGTACTGTGTAACTCATATGTCTTTATCTCGCTCCATGAAGGTAAACCGATAATTGTTCTAAATTGACTCTGAGCAACGAAATATTGCTTAAAGCTGTACACGACTCGTAAATAGGCATACGCCATTTTCGATATTATATCTACGATACATCAACACCAGGGTATACTCCTCGCATTCGTTACACCTGACTGCTTTATTGTCACGGGTATCGGCGTGGAATGGCGACCCGTGTTCGTGCTGGTTATCTTGCTTTACCTTTGTTTACATTTTATTGTAGTTACGTGTATCTGTATTTGTTTGTATACTGCACTGACCTGTACAACTGTAATTGTAAGTTTCTTTTGTATCTTACTTTCCTGCATTAGACGAGATATTACAGTTATTTTTGTCGCTACCGAGTGCTGTATAGAATACGTCTCTCTACACCGGTGTCGACTGATTATACTAAACAGTGTCCAAGTCAGGCCCTTTATATAGGGGTCCTCAAATATAGCGAGAATCCGAACAAAAATGGCGGACACATTGCTTTTACGAATCATGTCCAGCCTTAAGGAGGGATTCTTCTCGTGTTTATCATATTTAAAAATTAATGAAATTTTCACAGATTGAAGAAGACAATATCACTAGGTGATACAGTGCAGGGAACTAATTTTGTTACATAAACCAGCATCAGCATAAGCATTAGTAGCATCAGGATCAAGCTAGCATCAGCATCAGCATTTAAAAAACAGCATTTCCAGGATCAGCATCAGCAAGCAAAGGATAAAACCAGCATTGACCTACATAAAATCAGCATTATCCTACTAGCATCAGAAAATCAATGAGTTTTAATTCAGTAAAAAATTAAAAAAGAAAGAAAGAATATTGGTTAAAGTATTCACATTATTGATACATAGTGAGATATTATGATCAAATAATTGTAAAAGGCACTTTTATTGCTTTAAACGGCAATGCTGAAATTCATTATCTACTTCCGGTAGCATGATGCTACTTCCGGTAGCATTGACCTAATTATAAAACAGCATCAGGATAAGGATAACTAGCATTAAATCAGCAAGCAAAGGAAGCATTCAAATCAGCATTGATGCTGTAACAAAATTAGTTTCCTGCACTGTAACATAAATTTCATTATATTTGACCGTTTAATTAAAAGGTCAAGGTCATGTCAAGGTCATTATCTTTTCCCTGTCATTAAGAATAAAAAATTATTGTTGCCAATCATGTAATGCTTATTATCATTTTAAAAGATTTAATCTTTTTCTTTTTACATAAAAGGTTGAAACAACAAAAGGTCTACCAAATGATAATATCAAATTGAGATAAACAGTTAAACTAAATAGATATCGAGTAACCCGAATTTCCTCTATTTTTCTTTAATTTTTAGGGAATATTAGTTGTATTAATAATTTTTATATATTTAAAATTTTATTATTTTTACATATGGTAAAGTAGTCATGTAAAGGTACAAAATGATACATTAACCAAAATTTTGACCGTTTAACAGGTTGGGCACAGTTCCTTTTTCGGGGAAGTATTACTATAAAACGGGATTATTCCTCTTTCAGTAGTAAAAAAAACATTACTGTATACGGGAATTTTCGTCATATTTTTAAAATAATGCCCCAAATCCGTTTATTAAATAAAAAGTGCATGAAAAATACGACGTGATGTGTTTAAACTTTATTAAACCAACCTCACTGACAAAAATTTCGGTCCTTTAGTGCTGCAGACGGTAGTAAGATGAGATTTAATCGTACAACATTATGAGTATTCTTCAAACGGATGTGAATATTTCCTTATAAGTTATATTATTATTTGTTCAAAAACGGAAAATTTCATAGCTTGGTTTCGTGGAGGTGACATCTTTTGAACATGCATAGGAATTTAAACTCACGTGCAGCAGTAATCCACGACTTTTACTTTAATTTTCCCTGTTGATAAATGATACGAAAAGTATGGAATCTTATAAGGGCATTCATGCTAAAACCATCTTTGAAAAACTATATTTTAAAATTTAATATTTTAAATAATTATTTTCATTTGTAAAAGAAGCAGTGGTATAAAAAAATTATTTTTACGATGTCTTTGAAAGAAATGATATAAAATTAAATTAGAACGAATAATTTCATGAACAAGTTATTAAGTGCTGAACTTATTTAATATCAAAATTTTAACACAGATAAGCTTCCGTAAGAAATTTATATCGTAGAAATATTTCATCACTCTTCTTCAGCATTTTGCAGCGATAAATATCGTAGTTTTGAGAATACGTACACTTAATAGACTGTAAATATTTAGAGGATGTAAAAATATTCTGCACTTAATCTTTTATTCAAAGCAAACACGAAAATAGAGGGTAAACGAGTGAAAATTCCCGTATACAGTAATGTTTTTTATTACTGAAAGAGGAATAATCCCGTTTTATAGTAATACTTCCCCGAAAAAGGAACTGTGCCCAACCTGTTTAATAAGAGAGAAAAACATTTTTTACTGAATTTTTACTCAAATCTGTTCTTAAAATCCTTAGCTTTTAAAGTCTATAAGATTACCATTTGTCCAGAAAATTATATTTATTTGATATATTTTTAAACTTTAGTCCATTATTATTAATTTCAGCCACTACAAAAACTTCCTTAAGCCTTTGATTGTTTAAAATGCCTTTTAAATTCATTGTTCTGTAGTAATTTTCAGAAGCAGAAAAGGAGATATTTTCATACGCCGCCATTTCGCCAAAAATATAGTCCCTGCTAGATTTTGAAGTCAGTTTACCATTACTATTTCAAATTGTACAATTATGAAAAAGAAAGAAAGATATGATCTTTAAAACCCTTAACATCTAAATATAAAAGACCTGTAAGCAAATATACTTTGAGTATTTCATTAAGTCAGAAACCAGACAAGAATCCCTCCTTAATTAAATCGAGGTATTCATGCTAAGTTGATTGAAATATTAATTTATTAATTATTCTCCCGTGGTTTGACATGGAAAGTTCGAGAGTTTCTTATCGAACGTCCATTGTTACATAATGACACGCCCATTTTTTTTTTTTTTTTTTTTTTTTTTTTTTTTTTTTTAGAAATGAGAAATACTCGTCGTAATGCTTTAAGACACCCACTCTTTGCGACTAGCAACATGAGATGTACTAAAATGGAGAATTTAAAAAGCGAGAAAGAGTGAGAGTTAGTTAGAGACTCCCCGCTTCTGCAAAACACGTATTGCAACGAATATATACATAATAAGGAATTTATCATGTTTACTGAAGTTAACACATGTGTCGGTCGAACATGTGTTTACCCGGTGTTTATGTAGACTGTCAATTTGATTGGTTATATTATATAAACAATTTGACCGTTTTTTTCCTTTCTAAAGAAATGGGCGTGTCATCACATGACTATCAATATTCTAAAGATAGCTCAAAAACTTCCATTCAAAGGGAAAATTTTACCACTTCAATGCGCTTCATTAATACTGTTCCCCAGGTTGTGTTCCATACTATGGCGGCATGCTGCCCCCTACATGCAAGATAAATTTATGCTAACATGCAACATAATTATGTAGACATGCGACTTATTTATGTCAACATGCAAAATAATTATGTTGACAAGCAAGTTACCAATCTCTTTAGAGAATCTAATTTTAATATTGGTAAACTTACTTACTAACGCCATTATATGACATTATACAAGCAAGATACAACAGGATTATGTTGACATGCGACTTATTTCTGTAAAATGCTAGATAATTATGTAGACATGCGACTTATTTCTGTAAAATGCTAGATAATTATGTAGACATGCGACTTATTTATGTTAACATGCAAGATAACTATGTAGACCATGCAATTTATTTATGTCAACATGCAAGATCATTATGCAGACATGCAACTTATTCATGTCAACATGCGAGGTAATTATGTTAAGATGCGAGTTAAATATGTCAACATGCGAAATATATGTTAACATGCAACTTATTATCTTGCATGTTTACATAATAAGTTGCATGTTAACATACACTGTACATATCTCGCATGTATTATGCATGTTGACATAAATACCTTGCATGTTAAAATATAACCCGTATGTTGACATAAATAAGTCGCATGTTGACATGAATAGAAATATATGGAGATAACGAACAGTATTCAAGCTCAAAAGTCCATTAAACATCACAAAATAGGTGCAGAGCAAACATGGACCTCCAAAACAACAGAGGTGGGATCAGGTGCCATGGAGGAGTGAGCATCCCCTGCCAACCGGTCACACCCGCCGTGTGCTCCTTGTCATGATCGGGAAATAACGGGAAAATCCGTCGACAATTCAGTGTGTAAATAATGGCCTCACAATTAGTATGAAAAACGTCAGTAAGCATTTGACTCAATTATAAATTATATTTGCTGACAAAGTCATTGTATCGACCATAGAACGTACGAAATGATGACTTTAAACGAGACTGCTGATATTCTTGTTTCATCAACTTGTTTGTCAATAATTTATCTCGTTTTAGAAATTGTGCATACGTAGAGCATGCTCTTGCGTATCGAATCAACTGAGAGATATATATACCCCGTATGCAGGTGATGAAGGTATATTGCTGCATGAGTAAGGGAAGTTAACGATTGAAAAGTTAAAGTCATCACGTTTATCATAAAGCTTTGTTGCATATGTCGCATGTTAACATTAAATAAGTTGCATGTTAACATAATTATCTCGCATTTGAAGATAAATAAGTCGCATGTCTACATAGTAATGTTGCATGTTAACATAAATAAGTCGCATGTTGACATAAATATCTTGCATGTTTACATAGTTATCTTGCACGTTAACATAAATAAATCGCATGTCAACATAATTCTGGTGCAGCTTTATTGAATGATGTTTACTGGCGTAGTAAGTCAATTTTACCAACATGAAAATTAGATTCTCAAAAAAGATTGGTAACTTGCATGTCAACATAATTTTTTTTGCATGTTGACATAATTATCTTGCATGTAAACATACTTTTCTTGCATGTTAACATAATTTATCTTGCATGTAGGGGGCAGAAATATGCCACCATACCATACACCCTGAGACCGCGAACTAGGATGTGTGGGATACAACTCGGGGTAAATCCCCGTACACCCTTGATTTTACCTGGATAACGAATTTATTTCCTTTGTAAGCAAATAAATTCTTTGTAAATCAAAGTCCAGTTAATGGTGCTTCAAATTATCGATTTCATTTACGAAGTGCTACAATGCATCGTGACGTCATGTTATTTGTTAAGCCGGGTGTACGGCAATTTACGCTCGGCTTGCTAACCAATCAAAGGTTATGTTACAAGCAAGGTAGGAAATAATCGCTGCACGTCAGTTTTCACTTATTCTATACATGGAGGGCGCCTCATCAAGCTAATGTGGGCAGCACGTGACCTGTGTACACACTCTCTCTCCTAACTTCATAAAATCCTCATATTTGTCAAAACTCACGTTGTAAGTCACAGAAAGTGTGGTGTCTAATTTCTAAAGGATTGGGCGTGTCCTTGCTTAACAATCGATCAATAAAGAAAGATCAAGACTTTTCATTCAAAAGAAGAAATTTACCACTTCAATGCGCATTATAATATCATTTATGGGAGCCGACTGCGGTTTTATTGAGTGAAAACTACAATATAGAAACTCTTTAATTTTATACCATATGTAACTTACATTAACTTTAGTGTATATGCCAAGTTGAGGGAAAATCTACCGTCTAGGTATTTTAAGGGACCGTCTCAAAATACAGGTACATTTACCATAGAATTAAACGGGAAAGTGCCGCCAATTTTTCGCACTTCAAATCGAATTATTCAAATAATATTATAGCCTATTTGCTCAAATTATAATGTGATGAGTAATATTATATTGTACATTATACATGTATGTAAGGACGTACTGACCCCATTAAGGACTTGAAGGACTAGCTCCTAAATAATTCTCTTCTGCATACGAGATCTCAGAAACGAAAAGAAACTTCTGAAATACTTGTAGAATAAAAAGTCTTCAAATTCATAAGTCCTTTTATTTGACATCAAGAAAAAGGGGACGACCTCTCAAAAAATTAGCTGAGAGGGACCGAAAGACTTAAATCTGTAACTCTTTTAACGAGCAATTTTTTTTGCTATAGATTAATGAAGCAAAAATGATCCTAAGTTACGTAATATGGGGCTTAAAGAGGCCAGTATGCTAAATTTTGAACGCTTTGAATCTCGTAAAGGGGAAATATTTTATAAGTAATGTTGAACAAAAGATGTTTAGAATATTGTTTTTAACAATACACAATCTCTTATTTTTTTGCTAAACATCCCAATAAAGGAGTTAAAGGACCGGTCCCAAATTTTTTTTCCCATAAATTTGGGAAAATGAAAACGAATTTCTAAAGATTTGTTGAACAAAGTGTTCAAAATCATGAGAGCTTTAATGTGATATCAAAAAAGGGTGAGCCCTCAAATTAGGGACCCAGAGGGACCAAAAGTCTTTAATCTTTAACTCTTAAATGATTAACATTTTGTTATACATCACTGAAGCAAAAATGTTTATCTGATTGAAATCAAAGGAAGCAATTTCTCATATCATTATTTTTGAACGAACACCATATCTCATTTTATCAGGCCGTCACGGTAGCTCAGTCGGTTGAGCGCTCGCTCCGTGATCCGATGGTCGGGTGTTCGAATCACGGCCGCGACTGACCTACGTTGATAAAAAAATAGGTAGCAACTGTTCCTTCGCCAAGCGCTCTCCTTTTTGAAGTGAAAGTTGCGGGTCCTTCGGATGAGACTTTAAAAACCGAGGCCAATTGTCACGGTAGGCGTTGGCACGATAAAGAACCCTCACTGCTCAATGGCATTGAGTGCCGAGTAAAGGTCTAAATTTGAAGCCCTTCAACGGTATGTGGTGACGTTTCTATATGAAATATATGGAGATAACGAACAGTATTCAAGCTCAAAAGTCCATTATACAATACAAAATAGGAGCAGAGCACACACGGACCTCCAAACATCAGAGGTGGGATCAGGTGCCATGGAGGAGTGAGCATCCCCTGCCGACCGGTCACACCCGCCGTGTGCTCCTTGTCATGATCGGGAAATAACGGAAAAATCCGTCGACAATTCAGTGTGTAAATAATGGTCTAACAATTAGTATGAAAAACGTCAGTAAGAATTTGAGTGAAATATTCTCGAACGGGACGTAAAACAACAATCAATCAACCAATCAATCATTTTATCAAAAATGGGACGGAAGACACACTCGTTGCTCGCAACCTGATCGGATCTAGTTTAATATTAATACAGTTTTTTTTTCTTTCATTTACAGTGGATGTTGGTCTTACGTGGGAAAGGTTTTTTCAGGAAAACAACAAGTTAGCCTTCGGGACCCTGGATGTGTTTCAGTAATGCTAATTGATATATCTTTTTCATAAGTTTTATTTTTTAAATGTATAAGATAAATTTAATCATTTTAAAGGGGCCTGGAATAGTTGCATTGTGTACAATTAACCTTAAATTTCTATTTTCATTAAAAAATAACTTCAGTTTAATGAATTGAACTAAGGTGAATATTCTTAAAGTTCAATTACAACGCCATTCTTCATAACATCATGTCAAACACGTGTGTGTAAACAGGACACGAGCTCTGTTATTGTTAGTGTTTACGTTTCACCGGATGTGTTCAATTTGATTAGTCTGCATACATCAATGAGCACGAACTGAAAGTACTGTTGAATTGGTTTTGCATTCTCGCTTTTTGACTGATTCTTCTGGATTACAGTTTTCATTCTTTTCATTAATACACAACAAAATTTCTACCCTTCTTTTAAAGTATTATGGATAAAGTTTACTTCGTGAAAGTGCAAGGATATGTGACAATCAGACGTGTCCCGAAATTTGTAATTTAAATAATTCAGATAAAAGAAGTTTCTAAACACGCTTTTAGTATATTTCGGTGTGACATACATATGTCATGATATTGTATTGAAATTTTAGAAAATATGAGCTTCAAAGCTGTGTTCCAGTCCCTGTAAGTGGTATTCCACTCTCTTTTTTGTCTGGAACTCATGTAAAAAAAAAAAACAAAAAAAAATTTCAGGTTTCCACAACAGTTCATGAAATGACACATGCTATAGGTCAAATGCATGAACAATCCCGTACTGACCGTGATAACCATGTCACCATGTTATGGGCGAATACACAGGGTGGGACAGGCAACAACAACATGGCAAAAAGCAATACCCACGACTACAACCCATACGACTACGAATCAGTTCTTCAGTATAGTTTAACGGTCAGTTCCTTCATTTTTTCTTTAAAAAACATCATCAATATGATTTTTTTCACGACGTCACAATCGAGCCGTTTCTTGAAATATATGACATTTTAGATGTTTTAGTGTACAATGGTCCATGAAATAAGCAATATTCCTGTTTATCCTTGTACCTTCTATTGTCTGCATATATTACACAGCACCTTGAAGATATAATTTACATTTTTATACAGGCATTCTCCACTAATGGCAAACCGACAATGGAGTTTCGTGACCGTCGATTGGATTTCTTGGCTGACTCAGCAACTGGTCTTATGTTTTACGACATCCAGGACATTACTGATGCATATGATTGCACTAGTAAGAATTATATGTTTAGCCCCCTTGGCCCAAAGACTGTCATGTGTTGTCTGTATACTTTTCAATTGTTTAACTTTCTTCTCCAGAACCATATGTAGCCGCATGCAAACAAACTTGCCACCTAGAGATTCCAGTTTGCTAAAGGAAGAGCCCGTTCTCTTTCAAGAGAAGATAATCAAAAATAGTGTAAATTTAATGTGGTGACGTAAACGTCATCATTGTATGAACCACTAGGGCCAGAAAAGGCAAAAATTAGGTGAATTCTTACATAGTGTGAGTGCCATTTTTTTTCAAATATTGGTCCAAGGCCTGAAGGATTTATGAAAGGGCTACAGTGGGGGTGAGGTAGGGGGCTTATATATTTAATCCACAATGCTTGTGTGTTCAGTTTTAACCAAGTTTGATCGATATGGCTAAAACTATTTCTTTGAAGCTACTTTGAAGATCTTAACTTCATACTTTTAGCTTCAAAACAGAATTTGTTTTTGTTCTTATATTTTGAATTTGAACAAATGACAAAGATCATGAGGTTGAAATTGTTTCTATGTACAACTAGGGTTTAAGGTGTATTTAACAAAAAATGCAAATCCTTACATATTTTGTTGTTTCACTTGACGAGCACCAAGAACGACTCACTATGTACGTGACATAACAATAAGTATCACCTCATCCTTAATTTTAGAACCCTGCAAAGGTCCAAATGGTGATGTCCCCCTGAAGCAGTGTCAGAATGGAGGATTTGTCCTACATACCTGTGATTGTCATTGTCCTGAGGGACTTACTGGAACGCTGTGTGAAACACCTGCTACTGATCCAGGTAATAAATTTATTAGTGCTAAGACTCCATCGTTAGACTTTGTCTAATATATCCTGTGAACAGAATTTTTGTCACAAGATACGTACTCTCAATATTTCTGTGCCTGCAAGTCCACTTTGAGCAGTAAAGACCAGGTCCGTTACAACGATTTCAAAAGTGGGGGGGGGGGGGCAACCTCCCCAAAAAGTCTGACAAACAAAAAACAAACAAAAAAACTAAGTGTCCGAAACCTGGAATTTGCCATTGCTCGACCTTACAGCAACAAAAACAGGGGGGGGGGGGGGGCAACCAGCATGTAAATGACAATTTACAAAAGCAGAATTCTATACTCAGAAAAGAAGTTGGGGGGGGGGGGGGGGCTTGAAGACAAATATAATAAATCTAAGCTTACAATAACATACATAATTCGGTGTTTTTCTTCTTGATTTTGCCTTGGTTTCTAAGCTAAAACATTTCTATCGAGTTCTTCCAAAATCTTATTCCTCCTACAGATTTGTTTTATTTTTAATAAATGTTGAAGGTTTATGACAGGTTTATGAAACAAGGTGCACATTAAAATTTCAATGAGGAATATTACATGGATTAATAAGTATAGATGTGTGGAATTTTAAAAGCTATCTCTGAAAGTTTGGGTTTTATTAACATAAAAAAATACCAAAAGTGTCATCAGATTACTTCTGGTTAGCTAGTGTTATCAGATTCTTCTAGCTGGCTACAGTCCCATCAGATCTGTTGTACTGACTAAAGATGAGAAAAGCCAACTAACAACTTAACTGTATGACAAACTAGAGGACTTCACTTTCGTTATTTAAGTAGTGATAATCCGATATCAGCTGCAAATGGCGTTTATGTCTCCCAACTTATACTCAAGTGCATGCTTTAAGTCCTCTTCACAATGTCAAGGTTTTGTGATATTCGTTTCCCTACACAAACCCTTCTTAAATGTCGTTATTTAAAGGTCGGTCTGGGAAGCTATTCTATTTTTTTCCCGTTAGATACTAGGAATCACTTAGGAAACAGCCTTGATTGTAGGAAAGTTTTGTAAACAAATATGACTTGTCTTTAGAATGGAAAGTTCCAGTTTTGTAGAATATGTGACTAGTACTTCAAATAAATTTTTGGAAGACCCTTCTCCTTACAATCATAAAAGATGTGATAAAGGCTTTTAGCTACTTAATAACGATGGATTTCAAAGATATTCTCATTTGTTGGTTTATAATTAATCATTGCTTCATGTGTAATCACAAGCCCGACTTTCAAATAGTGAACCTTTTAAGGGTTTTGAAAAGGAACGATATCACAAAACCTTCACTTTTGTGAAGACAGCTCTATGAACAAACAATTTTTAAACCTAGGAAGGTTATTAACAAATAAGTTGATGATACAGGAATTTCAACAACGTCTAAAGTCAGCATTTCGTAAATTCTTTAGTCGTCATATATCCTCATTAGGAAATATAACTTATCGTTGGGTCGTTTTTAGACTGACAAATTTCATATCAATTGTTTGGCCTTTGTATTAACATTGAATTTGATTAAGGAATATTCCGTCTACCTAATCAATAAACAGGGCTCACGTTGGTGTGACCAGTCGACAGGAGATGCTTACTCCTCCTATGCATCTGATCCCACCTCATGAATTTCCGGGACCATGCCCTGTTCACAAATTTATTTTGTACGTTTGTTGTGAGATCGATCACTCATCATTATCTTAAAGCTGAACACGACTCGTAAATAGGCTCACGCCATTTCCGATGGTACTATCTACGATATCAGCACCGGGGTATACTCTTCGCATTTGTTACACCTGACTGCTTTATTGTCACGGGTATCGGCGGTGGATTGGCGACCCGTGTTCGTGCTGGTTATCTTGCATTACCTTTGTTTACATTTTATTGCAGTAATGTGTATTTACAAGTGTTTGTTTGTATACTGCATGGACCTGTGCAACTGTTGTAAGTTTCTTTGGTATTTTTGTCTCCTGCATTAGAAGAAGTACACAGTTATATTTTGTCGCTACCGAGTGCTGTATAGCATACGTCCGTCTACATCGTTGATGATTGATTACACTGAACAGTGACAAAGTCAGCTACTTTATATACGGGCTCTCAGATATAGCGAGAAACCAATCGAATATGGCGGACAAATTCCTTTTACAAATCGTGTTCAGTTTTAATTCACCTTTTTCATACTTCTTGTTAACTACAGTCTCAGCAGATATTTCTGGTCAGCTACTTCTTCGGGAAACACTTTTGAATCCAAAGAATATGGAAATTCATACCGTTCTGACACAAAGAATTTTGTTTTACAGTTTGTGGTGGTATAGTAAACGTAGCAAATGGAGAAACCAAGACAATAACAACGCCTGATTTCAACAATGGAGGTCCATATCCCACCGGTAAAAAATGTGTCTGGTTAGTGAAGGTTGGTAAAAAAAACAGCTTATTTTATCTAATCCATTTCGTAGAAGAATAATTTGATTCAAGTTAATTTGTGTAAATGACCTAGGTCTCTTGATATTTAAAAAATTAGCTATCCTAGTTTTATTACAAATATCATTTCTGCTTGAACTTTCAGTAAGGCGTGACAATCTCGGCGATACATTATTAGCGTCTCTCAAATGGTGACCTAGATTCTCATTGGTTAAGAAATTCATAACATTAGCAACTTTAGATTGTTGTTAACAAACAATGGGATGACATAAGCCACGCCTCTTTACTGTTAGAAACGATGTAATTGGTTTCTTGCGTCACTCTTTGACGTCTGAACCATTTTTATTCCATGTGTATTTCACCCGTGAATGAAAAGCTGTGTAAATTTCGTATTGATGAGCTAATCTGGCAACCAATGAGAATCTAGGTCATTATCTGAGAGACGTTAATTATGTATAGCCGAGAATATCAGGCCTTACTGAAAGTTCAAGCAGAAATGATATTTGTACTAACAAGCACACATTTTTAGGCCACCTGAGTCACTCAGGTGACCTGTTGCTATCCGTTTTGTTTGTCGTCGTGCGTGGTCTGTCGTGCGTGAACATTTAAACATTTTCAGCTTCTTCACTAAAAACGATGAACCAATTTCAACCTTTTGACATATAGCATCTATGGCTGAAGGGGAACAAAAATTGTGAATTTCATGGTCCCTGCTGTCCCGGGGCCAGAGGAGTGAGGATACCACCAAAATTAATTCAATCTTTAAATCTTCTTCTTTACTCCTAGATACCAAGCAGTCAAACTGCTGGCATGATTGTAATAAGCATTGAGTCCTCTACCAAAATTATGAAATTCATGCCCCCTGGATCAGGGGTTCTGGTGCTAGGGCGGGGCTATATAGATCATATAGTGAAAGTGCCTTGTTTCTTTGAAAATCTTCTTCTCTGCTCCTGGGTATTAAACAAACTAAGTACATAGTTATGATGAGCAAGAGTACCTCTTAAGATTGTGAATTTCATGACCCCTGGGCCAGGGTTTCTTTTGTTAGGTCGGGGCTCTATTGATTATAATGCATTAATGCTTTGAAAATTTTTATCTCTGCTCCTGGGTATTATAGATAAACTAACTTAGTTGATATATTGTAGTTATGATGAGCATGGTTGCCTTTTCAGAAATCTTGAAATTCATGACTCCAAGGTTGGGGGTTCTGGTGAAGAGGGGGAGGGGGACTCTATTGATTATATAGTGAAAATTCATATTTTTTTCAAAATAATTTTTCTTCTCCTAGTTATAAAGCAAAGAAACAAGTGTATAGTTATGATGCACAAGGGTGCTTCTTCCAGGATTGTGAGTTTCATGGCCCCTGGGTCAGATGTCCAGGTGTAAGGGTGGGGCTTTATTAATAATATAGCAAAATGCATTATTTGTATTAATTGTATGAAATAATAATCCTGTCTGCTCCTGGGTATTGAGCAGATAAACAAAATGCATAATTATGATGAGCAAAGGCGTTCTGGTGTTTCTGGTTTTTCCGGGGAGAGGGGGGGGGGGGGCTCTATTGATAATATAGTGAAAATGTGTGAATGTTTTTAAAAAAAAATTCTTTCAACTAATTGCATAGTTATGATGATGTGGGTACCTCTTCCAAATTTATGAATTTAAAATTTTTAATAAGCAAGGGTATTTTTACCAGAATTTTGAATATCTGGACCATTTGGTCAAGTGTTCTGGTCCTGGCCAGGGCTCTATTAATTTGTATTCTACTGAGCAAAGTTACTCCCCTTTGCCATTCACCTTTGATAATAAAGCAAGGGTATTTTTACCAGAATTTTGAATATCTGGACAATTTGGTCAAGTGTTCTGTTCCTGGCCAGTGCTCTATTAATTTGTATTCTACTGAGCAAAGTTACTCCCCTTTGCCATTCACCTTTGATAATAAAGCAAGGGTATTTTTACCAGAATTTTGAATATCTGGACCATTTGGTCAAGTGTTCTGGTCCTGGCCAGGGTTCTATTAATTTGTATTCTACTGAGCAAAGTTACTCCCCTTTGCCATTCACCTTTGATAATAAATCACTTTACATGGTAAATAATGTATTTTAAAGGTCAATAGAATAAGAATGTTGTTCAAAGGCCAAGAGAGGCCAATCTGAGAGGTAATAACATGGGGTTTAAAAACAGATATTTTGTTAATAGTATGCGCGGTAATGGTGCTAAATGGGGGACAAATAGATACTAGACCAGTTATTTTTTTTATCCTAATCATACTATTTTTCTTGCTTTTTGGCAACAAAGATTCATTTATCAGTTGATGGATCCTCTAAAATATTGTTGTATTCTACTCAGGTGACCGTTAAGGCCCTTGGGCCTCTTGTTATATAATTCTTACTGTTTTTATGAAGATTTATTTAATTTCATTTTGCTTATTTGTTATCAGGTAAAGTAATTTCAAATAATAAGTCGATGTTTTTCCTTATAATCTATGAACTTAATTATGTTCCCCAAACCAAATTTTGGAATATATTGTTTTAACGCTGTTTCTTCGTCTTTTTTCGAATTTCTTCTTCAATATGATTTGTCCAAGAGTGTACTCGGAAACAAATTCTTTCAGATTTAACGTATAGGTTTATAATATAAGGCTCAGGTTAATATCAGGTATTATAATAACATGATATATATAAAATTCTTACTACACGCTCACACACGTGCGCTGGAATTTGATTTGCTGAAACTTTGAATGGCCACACCTTTCTTAGTTTTTAACAAAGCAAGACGAAATTTAGAATATATGTAACTATAATGTGTTTCTACATAATGCTTCTATGAAATTTGAATGCAAGCATATAAATGCATCTATGCTGAATTCTGATTTGGTATTACTTAAGGATACCTACTCCTCAGCCAGGAAGGATAACTCTTTATTTCATTATTTAATTTAAAAAGTCTCAAAATGAAGGTTGAAATTGAAATCTTTTCGTGCAACAATTTTCATTTCATGCATCTCAATGTGATTCAAGGTTCTTTGAAGTCTTAGAAACAGTCTTGTTAAAAGTTGACATTTGTAACCCGTAAAAGTACAAAAATACATTTCTAAAGAAATCGAATTTTCTTCAGTCTAGCCTTAGATACCAATATTTATTAGAATGATACGAAATTAGAAGTTATCCCAGATGTTTTGCAATGAATACAAAAACTTTTTACACTATGTATTATATAACATCTACTCTCTGATACATAAATCTATATATTGGTTTTTGATATTGACAAATGTTGTTGCCAAGGTTACAAAAAAATAGATATTTCTTCGAAATTCTTTCAAAGGCTTTTCCTACCACAGTTGTTGTCCAGTTGCAATGAAACTTGCCATAAAAAGAGACCAAACTGAGGATCATTATTGTATTTATTGCTGTTGCCATAGTTTAAGTAACAGTGCTACTTTTCTCATCCTTTAATTGTTGTAAGTACAAACTGGTAGAGCTATGTAGACTTGTTTTCCCTAAAAAATTACTTTCAAAAATAAAATGTGAATCTAAATGTATAATACAAAAGCATTTCCTAAGTGAATGAAGCTTATATGGAAATGGGGAACCTGAAAAAAGTGGGTAAGCCGTTTGAGGAACATCTGCGACGGTTTCCGTTGCAATTAGGTTACAATTAGTACTATATGTAGAGATACAATAAAACTCGGTTATAACGAAGTCACTGGGACCTGTGAAATTACTTAGCTAAATCCGTAAATTGCTATATCCGTATAAGGAATTCGTTAAATTCATATAGCTGGGGATCCAAGAAAACTTCGCTATATCCGTGAATTCGCAATATCCGTGTTCGCACTAAACGAGTTTTACTGCATATAGAACTTACTTTAAAATCCTGTTTCCAAAACTGAGAGTAAATAAATTTTATAAATTATTCAGGGTCCGGTTGGGAAAAGCATTCAAATGACTATAACGGAGATGGATTTAACAACGCAAAATGGAGCATGTAGTCATTGGTTAGAAATACAGTATAACCTGCTAGGACAGACTGGACCGAGGTAAGACATGCATATCATATCAACACATGTTGTTTTTAGTTGTTATGAGAATGTTTAAAATTGTGCATTGAAATACAATTTATTTAATCATCTTTTGAAATTACAAATTGTAATATTAAGTCTCTGAAAAAACAAATAGAATTACCGTATAAGTGGAATTTTTGGCGAGATTTGTCCTTAAAAATCAGTATTTAATTTTAGCGAGAAGTAATTTTTATGATTTTATGGTGCACATACTTTTAAAATAGGGAATAAATAAGTAAGCGATTTTTAATTTAAACGGTCTCAACACCCTCGCTAAAGATGCTAAAATTGAATCCTCGGAAAAAAATTTCTGCTTATACTGTATTTAAATTTCTGACAGATATTATCATCAAGATACTCAATCTTTTATGAGAGAAGAAAAATGAAAATATGTTTGCTAATTACTTGTGAACTGATTTTTTAGACGCTGTGGAACAGTTAGCAATGATGTTTATGTGACGTCAGAGTATGGTGACCCTACTAAGATGTTACTGAAATTTGACAGTGCTTTTGCTTCTAATGTAGCAGCCGGCAAAGGTTTTTCTTTGACAGTGAAAGCTGTTGGACAGGGTAAGTATAGAAAGAGGAGCCTTGTTAAGTATGACGGAAAATAGAGACCATTTCAGATAACATTCATATATACAGTAAAACATTCTCATAATGAATAATTTTGATTCCTTATATTCGTATTGCTAGTTTGTTTGTTTGACGTCCCTTCGAGAATTTTTCATTCATATTGAGATGCCACAATTTTCTGGTGGAGGGCTGCAAATTTAGACTTGTACTTGCCACTTAGGCCATTGAGCAGTGAGGGATCTTTTTTGTGAAAGCACCTGCAGCGATACGGGACCTCGGTTTATTTGGTTACGTCCATAGGAACGGCCTCCACGACCCGCAGTGAAATATTTTTGGGGATTCAAACCAACGACGCAAGGATCAATTTCTTACTTTATCTATTAATTACATGGATCGACTCCTTTCTTTATCTATATAGAAGTGTTTTAAAACTACAGAAAATATAAAAAACTGTGTTCGCTGTAAAATGCGTATTCGCCGTAGCCGTGTTTTACTGTATGTCGATTAAATTTAATTAAATATATATATGTATTAAAATTAGGGATGTCAACAAGTATTCGAATTAGTCTGCTATCGCTGGATCATACCAACTATGGACCACTTATTGTCATCTCCCTCGGGAGATGACACATTAAGTTTGAATCACCGGAAGTAAAGTCCTAGTGTAAGCTGCCATTGATAAGCTGGCGGTCTGGCAAATGACACGATTTCTAAATATAGAGATGTAAACAAAACTGCTCAATGACAAAGAATAGGCGATCTGTCAAACAGGCCATCTTAAAAAAGAAAAACTACACATAAATCATAGAGAGCCACAGAGACAATATCGCTTGGGTATAGTGGTGGGTCTTCAAAATACATGCAGTTATCTAATCATGGTCAGCGCGTGTGTATCAGAATGCACTAAACATGACATCGATTAGAACGGCCAAGGCGTGGATCAAAGTATTTACAGAAAAACAAAGTGGTGGGTCTTCAAATAACATGCAGTTATCTAGGCTGTTACGTAAATGATGGCCAGTGCGTGTGTATCAAAGTACACTTTACATGGCATCGATTAGATCAGCCAAGGCGTGGATCTAAGAATTTACAGAAAAACAAAATCAAAGTAAATACTCACATTAAAAGTTTAAATAGGACTGATGTGAATTGATGTCGAAAATTTTACCTTTTTGTGTATCTTAGTCATTCAATAACCTGATGCCATTTTTAATTTTTTTTTAAACAAATAGTTAATGTTAAAACTACAGGCATTGGAAGAAAGATTACATAATCATTGTGAATTTTTACGCATGTTCTACAAAAAATAAATGTCAGAAATACAATATTGTTACCTTTGTATAAAAGACGCAATTTCTTTACCCGACTCGTATTTTGAGAATTTACAATTATAACATCTGCAATCATTTTCTTTGTGTAATTTTAAATTGCATTATTGGTTAGTGGCAAAAAAGCTATCAAATCACTTCTCTTATTCTTGAAATATTATTATATAATATGATTGTTTCCTTGAACAGCCTAAATATCAGGTCTCTTTCAGATAATTTGTTAATGCCTAATTTTAGCTTATACCGTGTAAATTTTATTACTGACCTATTATATTTAAATGCATGTGAGGGTTATTTCTTTGGATAAACCATATATTTAAAAGTGGAAAATCTTTCGAAATCAATTGAGGGTCAGTGTCGTATAGTGAGACTTCCCCATAGTGAGATTTCCCCGGAAGACTGGCTATATAGTGAGATATACCACGGGAAGACTGGCTATATAGTGAGACTTCCCCCCGGAAGATCGACTGGCAATAGAGTGAGACTTCTCCCGGGGAAGTCTCACTATATAGCCAGTCTCTCCCCCTTTCATAGTGAGACTTCCACTCAAATGTAGTTTCCGGAATATTTTATTTCATTGTAAAACAATATTTTTCAGTATATGAATAAAGGTTCTCCGTTAATTAATAATTAAACATCTTAATAGCCTTTTAACAGTTTGTTAGTCAAAACTAATTATGGGATGACATGTACATGTATATTGATGTGAGATAACTGAATGAAAAATGTACATTATTGTTACAAGTATACATCTTTCTTTACTGTATTGTATTTATTGCATTCCCCATGAAGGTTAACATAAGCAAATTCCAAGAGTCCACGAGTAATGATCTATATTAAATGTATTTCTTTTGATAAGAATCGTTTTGGAACAGTTCGATTATTTACTGTGCACGATAAATTTTTAATGCGCACTTCTATATTTATTCATACAGGTATCTATTTTATAAGATCATTATCAAAATGCAAATATATATGCATCGTCGATGTTAATAAAATACTACTGAACATGGAAGGGGGAAGCCTCACTATGGTCGTTTAGGGGGGAAGACTCACTATATAGTAAGTCTCCCCCCTCTTACCGCTATATATAGCCATATTTCCGGGGGGAAGTCTCACTATGAGGGTGGGAGTCTCACTATATGACACCGGACTAATTCAAGTTAGCGCTTTAAACTTCTTGGCTGTTGTCCGAGTAAGCTGCTGTGATGTAAAGTAAATAGGAACGCTAAGGTTTTACCCATCCTCTTGTATAACAATTGTTTACAAATTTTACGAATACTGCTCAGTGGTTACATTTTTTAAACACATATACAAAAAATATTTGAAATTACTGTTGCAAATGTTTACTGAAAGGCAGCTTGCCTCTACCTTCCCCACATTTATTCATACCCCCCCCCCCCCCAATGTGTTTTCGAGAGAGTCAAAAAGTTTAAATCTTCCCTCCCATCCACGAAATAAGAATTTCGAGTTTGAACACCTCCTTTTTTTCCTAGTGAAAGATTATTCAGGTAAGTTGTAATTTTTTTTTCTGACTACCCCCCTTTTTTAATAAAAAAAAAAAGCTCTTCTGCTTGTAATCGTGAGGAAAAAAAATGTTACATTCCGCTATTTATTGTGTGCCCCCCCCCTTTTTGAAAAAAAGTTCTTCTGTCTGTAATAGCTGAGGAAAAAATGTTACATTCCACTGTTTATTCTGTGACATTAATGAAGCCAAAGAGATGACATTTCAGGCTTTCTGGAAAGCCAAACTTGTTTTAATCCATTACTTTTCAAAATATGCCGGTTATGTAAAAGTATATTCAAGTGAATATATGTAAGTAGGGCTTTTCGCTTTCAGGCGAAAAGCCCTATTGCTTTCGTTTTGTTTTATTATTATTTTTATTCTGAACACCTTTTTTCTGATTTAATGAAAACCCTTAAAATTACTGATGCTTTTTGATAACCATCTGATAGCAAATTTTAATGTCCCGCGAATGTTAGGTTTTGTACTTCCGGATTACTTGAACCCCTAACCGCAAGATTATGGATAGATTTTTTTTTTGCATTTTCAATACAAGTATACCCTCCTATCTCTTTCTCTCTCGCAAATATGCCCACTAAAGAGTGTATAGCATTGATGTTACGCAGATAGTTTGTGAGATGTTCACAAATGGAGCCGATCTCTTTGTACTGCCTCTAGTTTCTGAGTGTTGTGAGCGGTATGCGGGTCACAGAGAGAGGATGCATACTCTACTACAACATGTACAAGTATTACTAGTGTAGTATAGCATTATTTAGGCTTCTATTCATCTCTTCAATTTAATTCTTATCTGCCTTCTTCCACAAGTATATTTTATCGTGTGTCGGTTTGTTAATTTTTGTTGTGATGTCAGAGTCATTATAAATATGTCTGGAACGATTATAAATCTCATTTTCAGGTTAACAAATTCTTTGCACATAAAACTCCTGGTTTTTCAAAAGCTGAATATTTTCGGTTTTCAAGTTCAGAATGGTGTTGTCCCGTTCCTGAAGTTTCACTCTGTTTTTCTCCATTCTTCTTGGACACTAGCATTAATCAAATCTACTAATTGTTTGTGAGATGAATTTTCAATCCGTAGAGTTTGTACTTCGTGTTGCAACTTTGAAATGGTTAGTTTATCTTCAGCAGTATTGTAATTTGATCATTCGGGCGGGTGTCTTGGTACTAGTTGATCAAGCTTTTCTTCTTGGTTGATAATGATGTTAAATGTAGGCAAACTTATTTCAATCTCTTTTAACTTTACACGTATTTGATGAAGCTCCGTTTTAAGTCCTTGGTTTATATTTAGGGTCCCATGGAACACTGTATTCCGTAGATTATACAAAGGTAGTTTGCGAAGGTGAGATTTTGTTTCTAAGTATTTTGCCATACGAACTTTGTCTCTGGACTTTCGTCTACCGGAACGTTGCTCTTGGATTGGTGCACTAGTATTTGCTATCATTGTCATCCTCTGAGGGTGGTAGGAATAGTCCTACACAAATATTCTAGCGTAGTGACCGTGACGCGTACATCTATGACACTTCTCCATTGGAGCACGGCAAATGGGTCCACGCAAAATTCCACATCGGCCACAAATTGGGTATTGACACTGAGAGGAAAAGTCCACGGGTCTCCGTTGCGTTCCAAGGCTGCGATTCATAGCGGAGTGTACGAAAGTTGCTTTTCTGAATTGGGGAATTCTCGTAGAAGATAGGGGAATCAAATGATAGAGCTCACTTGGCGAGAGGGGGTCGTACCCGGTTATCTGTCAGATCTTTCTACTGTAGATTGGCAAATAATCACGATGGTTTTTAATTTCACTGTGTTCGCGATTCATCACTTTCCCACCAACGCGATTGGTACTTTCTGGGAAATCGTGAAATTAAAACGATTAAAGATAAATCTGACAGATTAAAGCAAATATAACAATTCATAAATTAATAGCAGAAATAGCAGAAATGTAGGATTTGATAGTGAAAATATTCGAAGTAATTGTCACTATTTATTATCGGTTTTAAAGAAACTATTCAATATATTTTCATTAAACTTTGTACAATAATACAAATTTTCATGTTACAGCTCTCATGATCCCATGGCGAGGCATTCGTGTCCTATGGACATATTCCTAGTTATTTTTTTTACTCTAACACAAAATAGACATTTGTTTCCTAGATTAAGTACATTTATTTCGATACTTTTCAGGATGTAGGTCAACACCTTGTAAGCAAGGAACATGTACTGATGTTGGTGATAGTTTTACCTGCTCCTGCTATCCAGGTTTCAGTGGACAACTATGTGATACTCTTACTGGTATAGTTGTATTACAATCACACTATAAACTTACTCAATGTATTTATTCTCATAGGACGTTGATCTGTTTCAGCGTGTCCATGGCTATAAGGGATTCAAGTTTGTTTAAACGAAAGACTGCATCCTAAAAAAATAAAAAAAGAAATAGTGAAAATGTGGTGGAGTCATTTAAAAATCTTCCACCGTGTCAGAAAATCTGAAACTTATACAAAAACTTCCTGACATAGTGTAGAATTAAAATCAAAATCTCTATTTATAAGAAAACTTTTTCAGAAATAAAAAATAGTGTTTAATGTCTATATTAACTGTATTAGAAGTGACAAAAAATATATTCTTAAAATATTCCTTCCCGATATTTGCAGTAAATTTCAGATATTAATGTTAAAGATAATTTTTTATATTGTCATAAAAGAAATTAAAAATCAAGAATATAAAATTATAATATCATTATATAGGTAGTCAAAGTAAATATGAATATGTTCAGTTTTATCTTTTCAGCATCTGGGAGCGTTTCATGTGGATTTGAAAGTGGCGAGACTTGTTTCTTTGCAAATTCACCAACAAATTCCTACAACTGGATTTCAAATTCGGTATACCAATTATTATTTCAGCATATATTTCGATATTTTGTTTCTCTTTATGGATTGCTGTTGGATGAGCAATATGTAAAGAAACGACATTTTAAGAAGCATGGAGTATAAGTTCACCGAAATATCTTACACATCTTGACTAAGAATACCCAAATTTTCGTTTTTATATCATGTATTCAATTCTTTTCAGAAAAAAGAATTTTATAAAATAAATGAACTCTTCGTTAAAATTGAATTAGACAATATACTTTCAATTTAAAAAAATCTAAATAAAACCTCGGAAATTATCAATAGATTGAATAATTTGCTGAAAAGTGTTTTGAATTTGTTAAAAATTGAATTGCAGCAAAAAGCTTTTGACCATTTATGATTGCGGTAGATACATTGAAAATATTGCCAGCCGAGATGTACGTCGAACATCTTTGTGTCAAATCTCCTGACGTTTTCATTTTACAGGGTTCCACTCCGTCTAGTGGTACCGGGCCTTCTGGAGCTAAGACTGGAACACAGTATCTCTATGCAGAGGTTTCCAGTCCTGTAGAAAGTGGTGCTAAATTTCATTTTGAGACACCTTTAATTCCAGGTATGCCAATATACTCTAAAGAAACTAATTATTTAAATATCCGTCAAAAATGCAGAAGCTAGAGCAGTGAGCTTACAATTGCCTATTGCCAGAAGTAACTTCAATTTTCTTTAATTAAAATTATGGCACCAAATGATACAGTCATTCATTTTAAGCTCTAGTAGTCAGAGGCCAGAAGAACGTATGCGATAGTAAAGTGTCTGTCTAGCTGTCTGTCTGTTTGTAAACAATTTTTCAAAACGCTACTCCTTCTACAATTTTAATCTGATTTTAAAGGGGCCTGGATACAGTTGCATCGTTTACGATTTAAATTTCTTTTTTTTATTCAAAAATAACTTCAGTTTGATAATTTGAAATCACATGAATATTCTAAGAATTCAATAACAATGACATTCTTCATAACATTATGTCAAACATCGGTGTTTTATAATCAGGGCACGAGCTTTGTTACTGTTAATGTTTACGGTTTACTGGGTGTGTTCAATTTGTTAGTCTGCACACATCAATGAGCACGGACTGACAATCCTAGTGAGTTGGTTTTGCTTTCTGGCATTTCTGGATTAAAGTTGTCATACTTTCCATTAATACACAACAAAATTTATAATTTTCCTAAATATAATGGATAAAGTTTACTTCGTGATAGTGCAAGGCTCTGCGTCAATCAAACTCGTCCCGAAATTCGTAGTTTTGATAATTTCAAGGTAAGTTTCTAAACACGCTTTTATTAGATTTCGGTGTGAAATGCTTTAGTAACATATACCCGGTATGTCATGAAATCATAATGAAAATTTTAGAAAATATGAGCTTCAAATCTGTGTCCAAGCCCCTTTGATATAACTTGTCACACAAGTAGAATACATTGAGATACATAATTCTATCGCTTTTTGATAATTATAACGGTGTTGCCATGGTTACTAAATATAGAAATTTCTGTCAAATACCTTCAAAACATTACTTCTCCTATAGTTTTGGTATGATTTTAGTATAATTTGGCAGGCAAGTTAACTACACTAAGATACATATTTTAGGATATTGTTTTTTTTTTAATTTTGATCGCTATTCCTTTTACAGTATTCCTCTGATTTCAATACATCCTGGCACACAAGAGGACTCAACTGAGATACACAATTCTATTTATAGGATTTTAACTACTCCTGCAGTTTTGGTCTGATTTCAATATAACTTGGCACACGAGTAGACTACACTAAGATACATAATTCTGTATATTGGTTTTTGATTTCGGTGAACGGTGTTGCCATGGTTACTAAAAAATAGAAATTTCCTTGAAATACTTTCAAAATGTTACTCCTCCTACAGTTTTGATCTGGTTTCAGTATAATTTGGCACACAAGTAGACTACACTAAGATACATAATTGTCTTTATTTTTTTTTTATTTTGTTTAATGATGTTGCTATGGTTACTAAAATCGAAATTTCTTTAAAATTTTTTTAAAAGGCTACTCCTCCAACAGTTCTGATGATTGCAATAAATCTTGCCACAAAAAGAGACTAAACCAAGCTTCATTATTCTATTTATTGCTGTTGCGAAGTTTCAAGTCCAAGTGCTACTTTTATCTTCCTTTGTTATAAGTACAAACCAGTAGAGCTACAGTCTCATTAGAGACCTCTGGTTCTCTATATTGGATTTTTTAATGAACGGTGTTGCCATGGTTTCTTGAAATAGCAATATCTGTAAAATATTTTCAAAACACTTCTTCTCCTACAGTTTTGGTCTGATTTTAATAAACTTAGCATGCAAGTACACTACACTGAGATACATAATTCTCTCTTCTTCTTTTTTTTTTTTAACTTTGATGAATGTTGATGCCATGGTTTCTAAAATAGAAATATGCAAAGGGCTACACCTCCTACAGTTTTGGTCTGATTGCAATAAATCTTGCCACAAAAAGAAACTGTACAAAGGATCATTATTCTATTTATTGCTGCTGCAAAGTTTTAAGTCCAATTGTTACATTTCCTTCTACTTTGTTTTACGTACAAACTAGTAGAGCTACTGTCTCATCAGAGACTTCTGGTCAATGATTGATGTTATATAATATTTGTCATATTAAAAACAAATAGGATTCAGATATGAAACATCTTATCTTCCACGTTTTTGAAATCTTAAGCTACCCAAAGATGTTTGTCTTTCTGGTATCACATGAATGGTGGTAATGTGGGAACATTGAACGTTCTACGGAATGGAAACCAGGTCTGGACTAAAACGGGAACTCAAGGAGACCAGTGGAATAAGGCTGAATTTAATGTTAATGACAATATCAATTACAAGGTAAGTAGGATAAGTAAACTCTGTACAATATCTGTTTTTCTGAGAATGGCTATTGCATATATGTTAAAACTTTGAGCTGCGAATTTCAATGATCTTTATACATATCAATATTGCTCTTAAAACTTTTCAAAGAAATTCTAAGGTCCGTCAGAAAAAATAAATATTGATCAAAACATTAAAATCGTTCCTTAATCACCTTTTATCAATTCAGGCTTTCGTTTATATTGTTGATAATTATTTGACAGATTTCTCTGATTGATGCCTTAAGTTGTTTGGTTTTCCTTATATTTGTTTAACACAGATTCTTCATGACAATAGGAAAGAAAAATTTATTTAGTTCTCTGGGCAAAGTTGCCAGGCTGAAAGGGCTTAAGTAAAGGAAAGAATGGCAATTGCATAGATTAAGTTATACTGAGAAAAAATACTAAGCAAAGTGTCATTTTGACTCTTTTTAATTAGTATGCGACCAGAAGATGGGCTGCCTTATGTATTTAACTGAGGAAGTGCCCATCCAACTTTCTATAAGCAGTTGTGTTGTTTTTTTAAAATCGTTCTCTTCCATAGATTTTGTTAGACTTTAATAAACGCAAGTAAATTAATCCAGGAATATTTCTCCACTTAACAGAAATAAAGCGTAATTTCAATGAAAACATGCCATTGGTGGTGTTAGTGTCTACTTCATCAAGATATATAATTCTTTCTGTTGGTTTTGTTTTCATTAAATTGTATGGTTATGGTTACTTAAAAGGAATGTAATAATTCCTCTTCAATGATTTTGGTCCAATTATATTTATACTATATAAATAAGTAATTTTCACAAAGAAACAATTCTCTTTAAGGTAAATGAAATATTTCGTGATCTTATTTTTTTTCAAAATGATTTTTCTACTCCTCCTACTGTTAAGACAGATTTCAAGAAAACTTGGAACAGTGGATAACACAAAAGTATACTCTTACAATTTTTTTAATTATATTTTTTGATTATGTTGAATGGGTGTTACTATGGATTTGAATATATCGTAATACCTGATTTTTTAAAAGGAAAAGCTGTTTCTCTCAGTTTAGTTTGTTTAGTAATTCTACAGTATTGTAGTGGTCACGAAACAATCTTTGAAGTTCATTGAGAATTCTACTCGTTGATTTGGTTTCAATAAAACTAGGTTCAAATTTAGAAAACATCAAAATACATAATTTTGTAAAAGAAAAGTATAAAGCAGTGTCACAGTTAAGTTACTGTACACTTTTCTCGTCCACCCTTCACCAATACAAGTTTAACATAATAGGCAACTTATGATTCTGAAAATTGTAAAACTCTTTACACAAAAGATCTAATGGGAAATTAATTTAAAAGGAACAAATTAAATTGACGCAAAGCATAAATCGGCCGCAAAAATATATTTAGCATTAATTTGAAAGTATTTCTATATAAAATAGAAAAGAGTCCAAGGAAACAAGAGTCCAAAGAAAAAAAAATCAAAGTAGAAAAAATATATGAAACATTTTTATTGATAACTACACTTGCCTTACTTTTCTGTGCATTTTTTATGCTTAAATTTTCGGTGATTAAATATTATAGATAAACTCTTTGAAACGAAAATCGGATTGCGCGCGATAACGGATAGGAATGTATTATCATTTAATTATTCGATTTAAATGAAATATATGGAGATAACAGTATTCAAGCTTAAATGTCCTTTAAACAATACAATTTTTGGAGCAGAGCAAACACGGACCTCTAAAACATCAGAGGTGGGATCAGGTGTCATGGAGGAGTGAGCATCCCCTGCCGACCGGTCACACCCGCCGTGTGCTCCTTGTCATGATCAGGAAATACGGAAAAATCCATCGACAATTCAGTGTGTAAATAATGACCTAACAATTAGTATGAAAAACGCCAGTCAGCATTTGACTTAATGATAAATTGTATTGGCTGACAAGGTCATTGTATCGACCATAGAACTTACAAAATGACTACTTTAAACGAGACTGCTAATATTCTTGTTTCATCAACTTGTTTGTCAATAACTTACCTCGTTTTAGAAATTGTTCATGCGTAGAGCATGCTCTTGCGTATCGAATCAACTGAGAGATATAAACCCCGTATGCAGGTGAGGAAGGTATATTGCTGCACAAGTAAGGGAAGTTGAAAGTCATCACATTTGTCATAAAGCTTGTTTGTTAGATTACCATTAATGTCTTTTTCAAGTATAATATCCAGATATGAAACAGATGTGTCAGACTCTGTGGTATCTTTTATTTCAAGCTCACGGGATATACCGTATCGACATAAGAATGGAACCAACCATTGTAAATTGACAATATGTCGTCGATATATCTAAATGTCGAGTTGAAGGCCACAGCAAGTGTTTCTTCTTTTGACGTATATATTTTGAACAAACTCTGCTTCATATGAAAACAAAAATAGGTCTGCTAATAATGGGGTGCAATTGGTACCCATGGAAATTCCAATACATTCTAAGAATTCCGAGACAAAGAATCTAAAAATATTAATTATGAAGAGCAGAAGAAAATAATTATGTAATTTGAAACTGTAGTGTATTCAAAACAAATTCTACTCCTTCTTAAAACTTTTACAATTAATTAATTATTTTAGGCACTGTAATTCATATTCGGAAACTTAATACGTTTTGTTTTTATACCTTACGCATGCCCGTGTTAGGGTGCAGTTCATTTAACAACTTTTTGTAAAATCATAAATTTATAAATATCTCAAGAAAAAATAAAAACATATTGAAACGTAATAACAAACACTTAGACTTGGGATTAAAGCTGAACACGCTTCGTAAAAAGAATCTGTCCGCAATATTCGATTGATTTCTCGCTATATCTGAGGACCCCTATATAAAGCCGCTTACTTAGTCGCTGTTCAGTGTAATCAGTCGTCATCAGTGTAGACGGACGTATGCTACACAGCACTCGGTAGCGACAAAAAATAACTGTGTACTTCTTCTAATGCAGGAGAGTAAGATATACTAAAGAAACTTAAAACAGTTGCACAGGTCAGTGCAGTATACAAACACAAATACACATAACTGCACTAAAATGTAAACAACGGTAATGTAAGATACTAGTAACCAGCACGAACAAATGTCGCCATTCCACGCCGATACCCTTCACAATAAAGCAGTCAGGTTAACGAATGCGAAGGGTATATCCCGGTGATGATATCGTAGATAGTATTATTATCGAAAATGCACTATGCCTATTTACGAGTCATGTTCAACTTTAAGCAAGCTTTTAAAATTTTTATTCATAGCTTTTACGTAAGTTATTAATATCGAATTATTCCATCGAAGCAATGAAAAATAACGTCTCATTTCCCCATGTGCACCTTCTAACACAACAACAAATAGATCGGCTGCTAACAATATTTGGGTGACCTCGACTGTATAGCTATATATAGAAGCAAAACAATTGTGAGCAAGAGGACAAAACCGATTGTATATTTTGAAAAGGATTTAAGGAAGACTGGGTCATGCAAGAATATGGGCGAACAAGGCTAGCCAAATGCCTATAGTAAGGAGAAAATTAAATCTCAATAATAACAAAATTTTCTTTGACATCTCATCTATCATTAAAGTATACTTTATGTAAAATCTCCAAAATTTGCAAAAAATCTCAAAAAGATTGAAATTATTTGCCTTTGAAATGGAATACACACACTAAAGAGGACAAAAAGGACCATTTTCTCATACTATAAAACAATTTTTACACCCCCCTTTGAAGAAAGGAGGGCATATTGCTTTGCTGCTGTAGCGGTCAGTCGGTTGGTCCACCAACAGTTTCCGTTCATTTTCTTCGCAGAGGTTGCACATACTGAAATGAAATTTTGTATACAGGTTAATCATAAGATTATCTGGATCAAATTCTACATGTGTGTATTTTGGGTACGATCGAGCAATCTTTGACAGAGTTATGTCCCTAGGACTTAGAAAAATTCGAATTATTTGCAGTTTCCGTTCAAATTCCAATTATTTGCAGTTTCCGTTCATTTACTGCGGAGAAGTTGCACATACTGAAATGAAATTTGGTATACAGATTTATTATAAGAATATCTAGGTCAAGATATGTTTTGGGTACGATCGAGCAATTATATGACAGAGTTATGCCCCTTGGACTTAGAAGAATTCCAATTATTTGCAGTTTCTGTTCAATTACTGCGGAGAAGTTGCACATACTGAAATGAAATTTGGTATACAGATTTATCATAAAAATATCTAGATCAAATTATGTTTTGTGTACAATCGAGCAATTTTTGACAGAGTTATGCTCCTTTGACTAAGAAAAATTCCAGTTATTGGAGGGGGGCGGGGATAAGTGTTTCACAAACATCTCTTGTTCGATATGAGTGGGTCTTTGCTCCATTTTTTAAAAGTGTATCCTAAAAGTTGGCGTTAAAATAAGCATCTTTTGGTTAACAAAATCATGGAGCAAAGACCCACTATACCAGCAGTACACTTTCTTGACACAGCATTCGCATCTTTCCTCGAAATACTTGAAGTCCATTTAGTCAATGGGCATATCACAAACATGATTTAAATGCCACTATTCATCAGGAGCTGTGTAGCGTAGTGGTTAGCGCGTTAGTCTCAAAGGAAAATGGAATTTTTATTGCTAGGGTTCGAACCCCACGAATACCACATTTTTTTAAACAGAATAATTTTTGCCGAGAAAATTTTCCTCAGGAAAGTTTTATCATAATTTTCAATAATGAGGACTTTATTGTAAATACTAAATTAACAAATTGAATATGATTTTTATATTTTTGATAAAATGTTGCCATGTAGGTGTGGATATTTGTTCCATAATGAACATTCATGAATTATTTCATTTACCAACAAGGTGGTTAATGCATGTATCTTTAAATAAAGCTTTGAAAATATTGATAATTTTTGCGAGAAAAAAATTATTTTAGCGATCGACCCTTAACTTTATTTTACCTCAAAACTTACAAAAATCTTCAAGAATATGCAATTTGATGGAACTCTACGATCCCTCTAGCATTAAAACATGCCCAGTTTTGAACAAGTATATGATTTTTAATAGCCAAAATTTTATTTTAGTAAGAATAAGTTTTTCTGCATATGTTTTAGTTTATGTTTTGAAAATCTGTGCAAAATGTAACTAGTGCGGTTCACTGTATTTTCAATCTTAGATATAGTTTTCAGAAGATTCTGGATGGACAATTCAAGAATTGTTCATAACAGTTGAAGACGTACAGCTGTATTTTTTTAAAACTGAGATATTAATTGATTAAACTCTAAGATAAGATTCCTTTGATCTATAAGGTAACATTTGAAGCAATACGAGGAGATGGCTGGCAAGGTGATGTTGCTATAGATGACGTTTTATTATCCGCAACACCCTGTGGTAGGTTTAAATTCTGTGTATTAATTAAAATGTATTTTTCTTCATAAAATCTTAAGTTATTTCAAAGCATAAAAAATCTTCTCAGCAGCAGATATATTTTTATGTCAATTGTTCGCTGACTACTTTATAATGTTTTTTTAATTAGTTACAAATTTTTGGTCAAATTCAAATTATTTCAAAGGTAACAAATCTTTTCAACAGCGAAGCTATTTTTTAGGCCAATTATCAACTCCACAGCCTAGTACACAAGCACCAACAACACAACAGCCAACAACTCGGCAACCAACAACACAACAACCGACAACTCGGCAACCAACAACACAACAGCCAACAACTCCGCAACCAACAACACAACAGCCGACAACTCGACCTCCGACTAATCAGCAGGAACTGCACTGTACCTTCGAGGATTCTACTTGCTTCCTACAAAACATAAATGGAGATTCTTTCGACTGGACAGTAAGATCAGTAAGTAATACAGGACCATTATATCAGTTATACTGGATAAGATCAGTAAGTAATATAGGATCATTATATCAGTTATACTGGATAAGATCAGTAAGCAATACAGGATCATTATCATACTGGACAATAAGATCAGTAAGTAATAGAGGATCATTATATCAGTTATACTGGATGATAAGATCAGTAAGTAATACAGGACCATTATATAAGTTATACTGAATAAGAACAGTAAGTAATATAGGACCATTATATCAGTTATACTGGATAATAAGATCAGTAAGTAATACAGGATCATTATATTAGTTATACTGGATAAGATCAGTAAGTAATACAGGATCATTATATCAGTTATACTGGATAAGATCAGTAAGTAATACAGGATCATTATATCAGTTATACTGGATAAGATCAGTAAGTAATACAGGACCATTATATCAGTTATACTGAACAATAAGATCAGTAAGTAAATCAGGATCATTATATCAGTTATACTGGATGATATATATATATATATATATATATATATATATATATATATATATATATATATATATATATATATATATATATATATATATATATATATATATCTTTTTTCCAAAAAATATTTTAAATTTGATAAACAAGTTAATAAACTGTTTATGGTGTATTATTTAAGGGGAATACGCCATCAAGTAGTACAGGTCCCTCGTCTGCTTATGAGGGAACTATGTATTCTTACATAGAGGCAACAGGAAAAAGGAGAAATACAGAAGCCAAGCTTCAAAGTTCAGCAATTGCAACAAGTAAGTCTTTTGAAGGTCTTTTGTGTCATTCAGTGACCTGTTGCTATCGTTTTAGTCCGCCGTCATTCTGCGTGGTCCGTTATACAATTGAAGGTATTCAGCTTCTTAACTGGAACAACTTAACCAATTTCATTTAATTTTAGCATATACATTTGAACTGTGGTATCTCAAACACTGATGCCTCGATTATCATTGATATGTTGAAGTGATTTGGAAGTGATGAATGGCCAAGCACAGGCATGAAAATAGATTGTTTTCAAGATAAGATTGAACAAGTCTATTATGCAAGAATTTTTTTTATGATACATAAGACAAAAAGTACTTATATATTTTTTTAATGCTTAGGTAGATTTGTGATTACTAGGTAAAAAAAAATGAGGTAAGAAACTATATATTTGTACATAAAATGTTCTTCATAGACTAAGAGAGGCCAATGTGTGAGGGAGTAAGAAGTGTTTACTACATGTAATAGACTATAATAATGTTCAAGCACTATTGGTTTAGTTTACATGGTTGAAGTGACGAATGGCCAAGCACAGGCAAGAAAATAGATCTTATTCAAGATTTTTTTAAGAGTTCTAGAATAATTATTTTGTTGATCCCTGATCATTTTAGTGTTCTTACTTTTTGGCAACATAGCTTTTCCTATCAGTTAATTTGATTTTATTTTAATAATACTTCATTGGTTCCTTTATCATGCTGTACTTAGGAGACTGTTAAGGTCCTCGGGTCTCTTGTTTTTTAATACTTCATTGATTCCTTTATAGTGTTGTATTGTACTTAGGAGTTAAGGCCCTCAGGTCTCTTGTTTGAGAATATGTGGAATCTTGCTTTATCTTAAAAATGACTTTAATTCAATGCAAAGGAAAATTATATGCAAGATATGATCATGCAATGAATATCAGAAAAATAGTTACTCGGGAATTTTTAACAAAATTTAATAACATCGAAGTGTAGTAGCTGAATGTGAAATTTTTATCCGGACTTAAGATGTTTTGTTTTTATGTTAATATTTTTATGTACCATTTTGTGTTTGATCTTACTTGCAGTGTTACAGAATTATGAGTTATTCTTTCTGTTAGTATTCAAAATTCGTTCAGATCTCTTACATTAATTAATATTGCATAGTGCCCCATTTCTTCAAAGAAGAAGGTACGGTTTTGGGCTTTATTGTGCCCTAAAAATTGAATGTTTTCAAAAAGTTTTGAAATTGGCATAAATATGAGTTTAGTTTATGAGTGTGTTAATTCATGAAAGAATATGACATGAAGGAGGACCATTCTAGAAATATGACGTCATTAATTTCGTATTTTTCTAAGTTTTAAGCAGAAAAAGCCTCACAATGAATCATTTCAGGGGGTATTTTCCTTGAGAAAAGTGTCCACAGCTGTCGCCCACTTTAATATTCGGACATGTTGTGTAAAATTCTTTAAAAAATCACATATCTCAAAATCTTTATGGGCAATGCATGTGGTCTATATTATCTGAAAAAAAAATTCACTGAAAATTAATGTCTTCTGCTACTTTTTAAAAAAAAAATACCGGAAAATGCACAAGTTTATGACGTCACAATTAACATTTATGAGTCAAATGAGAAAAACGATTTGTTTGATCTTACTGCATGGAGTTTCAACATTTCAGAAAGCATGATTTTTAATTTCTTTCACCACTTTCATATTTTAGAAAAATACAGAGCCAGATTTGTATTGAAACTGTACCTTGTTCTTTATACATTCTAGGAATTAACCTCTTGTGAAAGATTATAATTTAATATAAAATCAACCAATTAAATCAAAACCATGCTGTATTTCCAGGCCAGATTTTCTGTCTGACTTTCGCTTACCACATGTATGGCGCAAATATCGGCTCCCTGACCGTGGACGTTATTTCCGCTGGTGGCACGCAGACTCTGTTTAGTGAAAGCGGCAACAAAGGAAATGTGTGGCAAAAAGCATATATTCCAGTTTCACCAACAAACGGCATTGTAAACACACTACATTTATCAGTCTCAGTATTTTCATCGCCTTGAAATTATCTGTATGACATGTATTTGTTACATTTTCATTGAAAAATATATAAAAGTTTTTTTTCTTGAATGTTAAGATAGCAAATGAAATTTATTTATTTGACAGATCGAATTTACTGCATCCCGTGGGAATGGTTTCCGTGGAGACATAGCAATTGACGACGTTCACTTCCTGGCAGGTGACTGTGGTAAGAAGCTTATCCTTTCAGTTTATCACTTTCTTTGGTTTCTATGAAGTCGGTACAGAAAGAATATCAGTTCTTACGTCTTGGATATTTTCAGTCATCTTTCCTAATTTTGCATCATCTTGAAATGCTTTGCGTAAACTTTCATTAATGTATCCTAAGAAATGCTCACATTAATAACATGTTCGGGTTAAAAATAAGCAAGTGTCTTGATACAAATTTTGTTCAAATTGAAAGAAGAAAAATGTCCTTAACGTTATTGGTTTAAGACGATCCCGACCCTTCATGAAGGATAACAATGTTTCTCCCATTTCAGTTGTCCCCACCACCACCACCCCCGCCCCCCTGTCTCCTCCTCTGAGCTGTACCTTTGAGCCAGGGACAACCTGCTTCATGACACAATCACGAGGAGACGATTTTGATTGGACAATGAAAGTTGTGAGTTCATTATAATTTGCTTTAAGGCAGATTTCTTGTTGTTCTTTTTTTTTTTGGATGTTTAGAAATTAGCCATGTATGCTCCTTGTTTTTCTTCTCATTTAAGGTGATGCGCTGGGGGATTAATGTTTTCCTTATTTAGGTCTTTTTCCACTAAAATATGGAGAAAGGCTTAAGGGTGATTTATCACATGTTTAGTACTTTATGCAGTGGATATAGCTCATAGGATATCGTTTTCATATCCACGGTTGTGACGTCATTATGGATTTTGTGTGGATTTGATCAAGTCAAATATTGTAGATTTACATCTATGAAACAGTATAAAACATGAAAAAGCTATGTGTAAAACATGTGATAAAAAATCTCCAATGGTCTGTGGTTGGGATTTGATTTTTTTATCCAACTCGTTGTGTATTTTTATCCCCTCTCCAATGCTCGGGGATAAAAACACACAACTCGTTGCATAAAAAATCATATCCAACCACAAATCATAGGAGAACCTTTATATATTCAATCTGTTCATTTAACCTTAAAGCTGAACACTGTTATAAATAGGCACCGTCCCACAGGTATATAAACCCTTTGATTTTGTTACACCCGATTGCACACTTGAAACTCGTGTCCGACATGTAGTATATCTTTCATCTTAGATTTAGCATGTTTATTCCTTCTTTTACATGCATTTTCTGTTTGCGAATAATGCATTGACTTACATGTTTAATGGTCACTTTTCTCCTAACTCGGAAAAAAGTGTGTAAAATTTGATAATTTCATTGCGACTGAGTAACACGGCAATGTAAGATATACGTCCACACCGGTGAGACCTCTACAGCGAAATACTTGAACTGTTAGGAGGTCTGCAGCTTATATAGGGGTTGTAGGGATTGCAAAGATGAAAGGGAAATATGGCGGACAATGCCTTTTACGAGTAGTGTTCACCTTTTGTCATTAATTATTACATATTCAATACAATGCCTGCTACCCTATCCATGTATGTTTCAATATGCTGCTCAATTCTTTTGTTTCATTACGTAATACAATGCTGTCTTATCCATTAATGTTTCATTACATAATACAATGCCTGCTGTCTAATCTATTTATGTTTCAATAATTATTACATTTCCTGCTGTCCTATCCATTTATGTTCCATTACATAATACAATGCCTGCTGTCCTATCCATTTATGTTTCATTACATAAAACAATGTCTGCTGCTCAATTCATTTATGTTTCATTACATAATACAATGCCCGCTGTCCTATCCATTTATGTTTCATTACATAATAAAATGCCTGCTACCCTATCAAGTAATGTTTCATTACATAATAAAATATGTTCAAATCAAAATCTCTTGTGAATTTTCTAACATTAACTTGGTATGAACAAAAATCCGGTGACAGACATTAGGTCCTTGCTGTTGTGAAGCAAAGATTAATTTATCTAAAAATGGTGTGTAATATTAAAAAAACTCACCAAAAGGTCAAATTTACATCATTAATTTCCAGAGTGATTTGGGAATTTACCAAGTCAACTTAAAATATACTGATAAATTTAGAACTTCAAACCACCACCTTCCAGTTGACACTGGTAGATGGCCATTTATTCCATTAAATTAAAGAATGTGTAAATTATATAATTCAGGGTAAATATAAGATAATTTCAATTCATTTTAGAATGTAAAACATTGTTGCCAGAGTAATATTAGGAAAAACCTTTTATACCCAGATTTTGTAAAACGTCAAATACTATTAGGATTAATGAAATTATGTCAACCACAAAATTTTTAAATCTTTCAAAAAAAAAAACTCTCTTTAAGAAGTCTTTTGACATAATTGAAACAGTGCATTTACATAAACAATACTCCACCTTTTGTTTAATTTAGGGTGGAACAAGCTCTTCAAAAACTGGACCTAGTGCGGCATTTGAAGGTACTACATATGCCTACACTGAGGCTTCGGGACGTAGGTCCGGAGACCGAGCTGTCCTTGAAAGTCCATCAATTATGACAGGTTTGACTTTTTGCCTGTAGATTATTCTGAAAAATGCTGTTAAATACATCAAATGACAACAAGATGATTGATTTTATTTGAATGTATTGACTCTGAAATCATTTTCCTCACATTATGAATGTAAAACGTAGCTTTTCTAGTCAATTACTAAATTGTTTAATATCAAGTCAGCGATGTTTCAGTCATATTTCGGTCAAGTACTTTAAATAATAAAATCTCCTTATTAAATTTGTTTTTTTTTTATATTTTGTATAGCTGATTCAATGTGCCTGTCCTTCGCTTATCACATGTATGGTAATAAGATGGGATATCTGGAAGTCATTTATGATAATATGACAGTCTTTGCCGAGTTTGGGGACAAAGGAGACAACTGGCATCAAGCGAAGGCTACTCTTTACCCCACCACCTCTGGACCAAATGTATGAATAATCTTATTATTACTTCATGAAAATTACATACATATTGGTCTAAACCTACTCATGGTACATGTATCTATCATCAGATAGAATTTGTGGGTACACGTTGATATAAATCTTAATATCCTATCTTCAGATCAGGGATGGGGTAATTGAAAAAAGTAATTGTAATTGACTGTAATTAATTACATTTTTTGAAGTAATTGGAAGTAATTTGTAATTGAACATTTTTTCAATTACTTGTTATTGTAATTTAATTAATTACACTGAAAAAATACCATGTAATTTCAATTACTTTTTCAATTACATTCAATTACTTTATATAATACACATTCATGATATATTCATGATATATCGTCACCACTACCTCCCCATTTTACTGGTTTTTATTTTATTGTTAAACATATCCTCAATCCTTCATTTATACAAAATCTTAGGTTAATGCTTACAAAATAATTAAATGATTGGCTTGATAATAATAAACTAGTTTCTTTCTAATCATTATGTAAATTTTGAATTTTTTGATCTATGTTTATAAATATGAATTTTGAACCACCTATCTTAGGTCTATTCAGCTATGAAACACACATTTATTATATTTCAATCTTTGTTGTTTGATCAATAATAAAGGAAAAGAAGGCGTGTGTCATTAATTAAGTTCTCTCTTGTTGGGAAGAGATAATTGCCCTCCAGATCACAGCTTTAAATTGCAATCAAAACAAATCAACTCCTCTAAAGAGATATTCATTCCATGATTTAGAAGGCAAAGCCAATGAAGATAATTATATCAATTTAAAATGCTCCGCTAGCTTTAGAAAAAAAAACTTTCAATTTGATAATTATTTTAACATCTTAACAGATTTTTATGAATGAATTTTCTATCTGTACAATTCTGATTTATGAAGTAAAATTCTTCAACATAAATAGCAATTTAGGATGTTCAGGTTACCTTCAAAGGAAATATTTAATTTGAGGGGTTACAGTTGCGACTCATTTCACTCTACTAAAATACTCACTTTTAATCAAATATCATAAGCCATGCAATTTGTGTACATGTAGGTTTTGTGTGGTGGAAACTGCATCAAACTGATCTCGGATAGTTCTTTAAGGAGATTCTTATTGTTTTGTAAATAAATGTTAAAAAATTTAATTAAACCAAAACGATACACAATGCCTATAGCATATTATTTCTAGTACTGTTTGTGCAGAGGCTGAGCTTATATACAAATAAATGATGTTCTGTATATTCATTGACAAGGATTATAAAAATTTAAAAAAAATTAAAAATGTAATTTGTAATTTAATTAATTACTTTTGCAAAGTAATTGTAATTTAATTAATTACATGTCTTAGAAAGCCTGTAATTTAATTGTAATTTAATTGAAGAAAAAGTCAAAGTAATTGTAATTTAATTAATTACTTTTTGAAGTAATTGACCCCATCCCTGCTTCAGATACAGTTTGTGGGTACACATTGATATATTTCTTGGTATTCTGTCATCAGATACAGTTTTGGGGTTAACTTTGATAATAAATTTCGATATTGTATCTTGTTACAGTTGTTATCCCATCTTCAGATACAGTTTGTGGGTACACATTGATTTAAATCTCGAAATTCTATCTTGTTACAGTTTGTGGGTAAACATTGATATATTTCTTGATATTCTGTCTTCAGATACAGTTTGTGGGTACACACTGATATAAAGAATAAATGGGCTTAACGCCCCGTTTTGGATCTTTTTGCGATTCCTCTACCAAGCTGTAAATGAAGTGAATCCAAAATATTTTACAAACAAAGCATAAAAAAGAGCTACGTATGCATGATTATATTAGGTAGAAAATTTGTACAAAAGCAATGCCTTGCTGCTATAAATCAAAACTGAAGCAACGATACATTAGTGTCGCCGTCCGGATTTTGACATGTACCCGGAATGGTTTTTAGGTCACATAAGCAATATTAATAGAAGGCGGGGCTATCGATCGGTGTCAGTGTCGACATCTCTCTCTCTCCTCTCTCTCTTTAGAAATTCGAATATGTGTATGGTATATTACAGCGATGTCAATATGAAATTAAAAAAAGATGTGAGGGCATTTGCTAAATTCTGAAAATATTGCAATCAAACACGCTCCAAGACGTGATTTAGATCGAGTTAGGTTGAAGAATACAATTGTAATTTTCACGAGTACACTCGCAGGTGGACATCACGTGATGAATTCGACAGATCAATCGAAGTCAAATCAAGGTTAACGCAGTCATAACAATGGAAGCGAGAAGTTCGTTTTGTACATGTTTTTTGTAAGATTAAGTATGAGCGCACGTTTGTCGGCTATTCTCCTTTAAATAGGACATTATGTTGTTCAATAACTACAGTTTTCTTAAGAACAGCCGACAAACATGCGCTGACTATGTATTCAGACGATGAAAAACGCGTGACCCTGATTATCTATTTATATTCAAGAAATCTTCGGGCCCCATGCCTTCGATATTTATTTAGTTTTTCTCGAAAAGAGCATTTTAAATTCATATCTGTACCTAGAATACACGCTTAAGATATCGGGGATTTATATGATAGAAAGAAATAAACATTTTATAACACTTTTAACACTTTTGTTTTTGGGTATACATTGATATAAATCTTAATATCCTGTCTTTAGATACAGTTGGTGGTTCCTGTTGATATAAATCTTAATATCCTATCTTCAGATACAGTTTGTGGGTACACATTTATAAATTTCTTAAAGATATACACGCTATATAAACGCAGTTTTTTTTATGTGAAACAAAATGATTAAACATGATGTGTAATAAAAAATAATACTTTCCACAAAGATTTACTAAATAAGTCGTAATTACAAAACAATTAAGCAAGATCTGCAATTAAGAATTCAGCCTTTTCATGAATATTGATAAAGGACGTGCGTACACGCATGTCCGCAGGAAATCGTAGACGACTAGGTACGTTGCATTTTGACTACAATTATGAATAAAAGGTCAATATCTGTCATTACAGAGTAGATGGTTAATACTAGTTGTTTCAAAGGATAAGTATCTTTAAGCATTCAACGTGTGCCATCCATTTAAAAAGTTATTTGTATACCAAACGGCCTACCTCGTTTTCTTGACCCCATTTTTGTTCTAAAAGTAGCGACGGTGTCACATGATGCATGAATTTAAATATAGAGGCATTACTTACCTAGTAGGAAAATAAATAATTATAATTTGAGATCTTTATAACGCGTTCATTTTTAATCGTTTAATTTACAGTATTTTCGTAACTTTATTTGGTAAACAAAATAAATAAATTTCCAACTTTATTTTTACCTGACGCAAGTTACAGCGTGTATATCTTTGATATTATGTCTTCAGAATGATACAGTTTGTGGGTACACATTGATATAAATCTCGATATTCTATCTTCTTACTGTTTGTGGGTACATGTTTATATAAATCTTAATATCCTAGATATTCAGATACAGTTTTTGGGTATACGTTGATATATTTCTTGATATTTTGTCTTTAGATACAGTTTGTGGGTACACATTGATATAAATATCGATAATCTATCTTGGTACTGTTTGTGGGTATACTATGATATAATTCTTAATATCCTATCTTCAGATACAATTTGTGGGTACACGTTGATATAAATCTTAATATCCTATCTTCAGATACAGTTTGTGGGTACACGTGGATCCGGATTCAGAGGAGATATTGCCATTGACAACATTCAGGTCAACACAGGAGAGTGTGGTTAGTGATATTACAAAAAAAATGTGGAACGAAAATGATATTTGCTCTTCTTTTCATATGAAATCAGCTTCATTCTGTTACACAAGGAATAAATTTTTAGCTCACCTGATCCAAAGGCTAAACTGAGCTTCTTTGATCTTCTTTGATCACATTTTGTCTGGCATCCATCTGTCCATTTGTTTGTCTGTCTGTAAACTTTTCAAAGTTTCTACTTCTCAAGAACCACATGCATGACCAATTTCAACGTGCAAAACAGAGTATTCTTGAGTGAAGAAAGATCGATATCAAGTTTGATCAAATGGACCACGCCTTCTTCTAAAGGGAAGATAATAACGAATTTATGGAAAATTAAAGACACCTTTTAAAAATCTTCTTACAAACCAATGTGCAAAGAAATACTAAACTTATATGGAAGCATCCCCCAGTAATCGTTCAAATAATTTAAATATATTTATATGGAAGCATCCTTAGATAACGTATATCAAGTTTGTTCAAATTATGACCCCCTGGTGTTAGGGGGGAGACATAATGGGTCATGAAAGTTTACATAGGAATACATAGGGAAGATCCTCAAAATTCTTCTCAATAACAGCAAAGCCGTTATAGATCAAATTCATTTGGAAGCATCTTTTGGTAATGTAGATTCAAGTTTGTTTAAATCATGACCCCGAGGGTTAGGATGGGGCCACAATAGTTAACCAAAGTTTTACATAGGAATACATTGGGAAAATCCTTAAAAATCATCTTCTCTAGTACAGCAAAGCCATAAGTTATATTTACTTGGAAAGATTCTCAGGTATTTAGATTAATTTTTGTTGACATCATGACTCCTTTGAGTAGGCAAGGGCCACGATGGGCGGTCAAAGTTATACATATGATTATACGGAAAAAATCTTGAAAAATCTTTTTTCATAAACAACAAAGCCATGATTTGTCATATTATTTCATAAGCATCCTAAAATAGTGTAGTTTTAAGTGTGTTGAAATCATGCTGTCCCGCTCCACTTATTTATTTTAACTTTTCAATACTGAACTGATTTCTTCTTATTTACTAGCCAAAGTGCTCAGTGAGCAATGTAGCCCATGGGCCTCTTGTTAATATTTGTTTTATATTAGAGTTAATAGCCAGTATCAGAGCACACGTGAATTTAGAAATCATTATTCTATATAGGTTCTATATAGGTTATTGTCTACATATCCCCCCCCCCAAAAAAAAAACAAAAAAACCAACAACAACCCTATAGTGGACATTTGCGAGAAACGCTGACTTTTACAAACGACGACTTACTTTCACAGTAGGGCATTATACGGAAGCTCTTTTGCGATATAAACATTAAGCTCAAGAGTTAATTAAACGATGATATTTGGCAATTTCAAAGCAAATATTACGTTGTCTAGGAAGGGATCGGCATCCACCCTACCCCCAACCCCCTCCATTCCCACATTAACCAATTCTTGCTTAGTTTTTCTTTAGATGTGTTTTTTCTTCCTTATTTCATTCCTTTAGAAAAATTAGATTGAAAGGAGGTACTGACCTCACGAATAAGGTAATTTTAAGGTACGTCATTCTGCCTCTCATCATCTCTTGCATTGATTTCATACCGGTAAATCATGTTAGTGCCCCTACCAACATACCTATAACCACTATAAGGGTTTTCTTATCTATTATCAATGCCGTGCCTCCGTAAATACATGTAAGGCAGGTTTAAATATCAAAGTAAGCCATCGACTGTAAAAGTCAGTGCTTCTCGCAAAAGTCCTTTACTGATGTATTTACGTTTTCCTCACAATTTCATAACCCTACCTCTTGAACAAACTTGTTTACTGGGTGAAACATACATATGCTTAGTGTTAATATATCTGATGGAATAATATTTACTTTAAAATCATATCTCTTAAATATTTTGTAAATGAGATGTACTATTTATGAGATGTATTTATTTGTGTAATGGAAGAAAACAAGTGATATAATTTTTTTTATCAACGTTTATCTTCTATGCACTAATATACTTAATTATTTTTTTTAATTTTTCACTTCTCACACGTTTCTAAACTTTTGAATTACAATGTAACATAAAGTGCACCGGGTATTTGAAATAATTTATTTTATCCAGTCCTAGATTGTTCTGATAATCCTTGCGGTCCTAACAGCGTGTGTATTGCTGATCCAGGTACAACAGCTGGTTTCAGATGTGAGTGTACACCAGGCTTCAGTGGGCAATTCTGTGAAATAGGTAAGTATCATGGGATGACCCTTTGTTATGGAAGAAAACTTGGGGTTTAAAAAAAAAAAATTATTATTTAACTCCCTTGTTTAAATTTGATTTGATCATTTAATTTGCAAAGAAAAGATAAAGATTTACAACATTTCTATTTCAATTTCTAAAAAAATATATGCACCGTAGCGCTGTATATCGTATGATGGGTGTCACTCTGTTAAGTAACATTGCCCATGTGCGAGTACCGAGTAACATCGACTTGATCAAAGTTGTACTAAAACAGCTTTAAATACCCAAAACTACTACGTCTTCTGTGTTTCAGTTTTTGAATCTCTGAAAATAAAGTCTTTAAGAAAATGTTTTCAAAACTAAATAAATTTAATTTATTTATTCGTCACTTATTTTTTTGTCGGAAATGGTAACTATGTGTTCAGTTTTTTGCTAATATGTTAGGGGCGAAGTGTTAAGTTTATTTCCTATCATGAGAAAATGTCATATTTCTCGAAATTTTAAAGGAATGATTAATATTCCACTGTTAAATCACCAAAAAAAATTGGGGAATACACTTAAAAACTCCAGTGAACTGGAGCAGGTTTGAAACTAACAATAATAAAGTCTTGGTCTTTTCATATTGTTCTCTGAAGATTCAGAACAAAAATAAAAGAAAAAGAAAAAATGCGTATGTTGAGAGTTGTGGTGGCACATGAAAGAGGGAGGTCTCAAAATTGCTTTCAAAATTCTTTTCTCCTGTTTTAAAGTAAAATCCTGGATCCTCTTGTGCAGATGTTTACTAAAATTGAAAACTATAAAAACATTCCAAAATTTCATTCTCATTTAATTATTTATGAAAGCGTCTTTGAATTCATATATTTTGTATACACTTGATTTTTTACAATCAATAAAAATAAATTTGGACTTGCTATTTAATTGCTATTTAATTAAGAGCTAAGGAGATAGAGTGACTGATAAACATGTCATCTGGTAATGCACTATAATGCAATACACAACTTTTAAGATATTACGTATCTATTCAGCTGTCGGTCCTGTAGAATGTACATTTGAAGATGGAGAGAACTGTTTCCTAGAAAACGAACTATTCGACGTATTTGATTGGACCATAAAATCCGTGAGTAGAGCGATATTCAAGATTGTCCTATTGCATTTTATAATTCGCAACCGATAAAACACCATATGGTTTAGAAATGATGTCATACACGTCACAAATACCTTTTTAGCTCATCTGAGCTGAAAAGCTCAAGCTTTTCTGATCACCTGTTGTCCGGCGTCCATCCGTCCGCCGTCCGTCTGTAAACTTCTCACATTTTCAACTTCTCAAGAACCACTGGGTCAATTTTAATCAAAGTTGGTACATAGCATCCCTGGGCAAAGGGGAGTTTAAATTGTAAAAGTGAAGAGCCAAGCCCCCTTATAAGGTTGTTGTTTAGTGTCGAGAATTTTTCATTCATATGGAGACGCCACCACTTGCCGGTGGACAGCTGCAAATTTTGACCTATACTCGGCACTCAAGGCCATTGAGCAGTGAGGGATCTTTTTCGTGCCAGCATCTCCTGCGACACGGGACCTCGGTTTAAACAGTCTCATCCGAAGGACCGGTCTACACGTCCCACAGTGGGATTCGAACCTGCGACGTAAGGATGAACTCCTTACTCCGCGACTTTAGAGCGGACGCTCTACCACTGTGCCACGTGGGCGACTGGTAAGATAATCAAGAAAAAAAATAAAATAAAGTGGGTTCATATAAAAAAATATTATCAAGAATCTCTGGGTTAAAATAGCTGAAACTTATGTGGAAGCAACTTGGGGTATTGTAGATTCTAAATTTTTCAAATCATGACCCCGGAGGGTAGGGTGGTGCCATAATGAGTATTACAAGTGGGAAATCTGGTGAACAGCAGGGCAAAAGTTACTTAGGTGAACGTTGTGGCCCATGGGCCTCATGTGTTCATGTAAAATTTTCTGTTGTTATGATATATATGTAGCATTTAAGTTCTCAATTCAAAGAATTCAAATTCAGCTATGAGGATTATATTTTTAATTCTTTTAACTTTAACAATTAATTGTTAAACTTTTTAAAAATAATTGTAATTTTTGTTTGATTCACATAATTTTTTCATGGTATTTAAATTCATAAGAAGACTTGGAGATATAAGAAGATACAAGTTCCTTGAACTGAATAAACTTCCTTAATTCTTAGGGAAGAACACCAAGTGGCAATACGGGTCCTAATTCTGCCATACAGGGTAATAAGTACGCATACATTGAGGCCACAGGGCGTAGGTCGGGTGACATGGCAATATTGGCTTCTACAACCAAATTTGAAAGTGAGTTTAGCTTCTTACCGTACCCTTGCTTATAACTAAATACTCCGAGCAATATTGAAGTTCAACTCCAAGAAACGGATTTCGATATATGTACCAAAATATTGCTCATGCATATTGATCATTGAAATTTTTGAGTTGTGTTTTATAATTATAGGCGGGGAAAGGTGTTTATCTTTCCAATACAGTATGTTTGGAGATGGTATTGGTGAACTGAGAGTAATGCAGAACTCTTTGTATTCGATCGAACTCTTTTCAAAGATTGGTCAACAGAGCAGTTCTGCAAATGACTGGAAAATGGCCGGAATCGATGTTTATCATGATGCCAACGATACGGTCAGTACAATACAGTCGCTTTTTCTGTTTTTTTAAAGAAAGTCAATGCAGTGAAGAATAAAAATTGGAGAAAACATTTTCACTTTTTTTGTCGGGGGAGGGGCTACTTCCGGGTTGCACAAGCGGCTTTCGCTCATTAATGTGATTTTTCTAGTGGTCCTTGTTTCAAATGCAGAGTTCAAAATCTTTTTTTGGCTACCTTACTATATAAATTTTGGTACCTGAAAATTCCAGGGAGGGGAACTCCAGTCCTTTCTTGATCCACACATTTAACAGGAATAAACAGAAAATAATTAAGTTGGTTAATTTCTACAGTATTTGCAAACAATATTTTAATTTAATTTCCCCTAAATATTACTGCATTTACATGTAACCTTACAGGCAAAAATAGTAATTTGCTTGTACAACATATATATATATATATATATATATATATATATATATATATATATATATATATATATATATATATATATAAATTTTTTTACTTTAGATTATGTTTGAAGCCTCAAGAGGAAGCAATTACAAGGGCGATATAGCAATAGATAATATCCGATACATTCCTGGACGATGTGGTACGGTACCTTATTTTTCTCATCTGTAAAATATTCCAATTTTGGCCATCATGGTGTAATGTGTTAACTCTCATGTTTTCAGTACTACTGGTCAGAGACCAAAAGAGCTTATGCGATATAACCTATCCATGCATGGGCTGCCCACCTTTTTTTTCTCTCTGTCTGTAAACATGTTTTTTTAAAAATGCTACTCATACAGTTTCGTTCCAATTTCAATATAACTTGGTAGGTAAGAAAACTACTTTAGTTAGTTATATATTGAAATTTATAATACATACCTTATTTAGTTCTAAACTTTTAAAAGACATAGCTATATGGAAATGATAATGGTTAATAAGTTCCTTACCTTGTCATAAAATTTTTGTCACACGAGATAATTGTTTTGGTGTGGCTAAATGGTCCTATCCTGAGAAGCTTAGACAAGTATTGAGATGACCGTCAGGCTTATGTGCCTCTTGACTGAGTTGGACAACACTGAGCTTTTTAGGTTGTGACAGTATTACCTGCACGTGTCTCGTGACTGAGTTTGACATTACAGATTTTTAAGGTTGTGACAGTATTACGTGTATGTGCCTCTTGGCTGAGTTTGACATCTCGGAGCTTTTTAGCTCACCTCAACGAAGTTTGGGGAGCTTATGTAATACCGTCGGCGTCCCACGTTAAAGTGTTTGAAGCAGATTTCTTTTCAAGTACTTCTATGCTCTCTATCAATCAGAGGTGCATGGAGGATGCCTCTAATGTGTTTCATTGTACCAGTCAAGGATTTAGATGCTGCAATTTCACCTAAAGAATGACCTAGTTAATGTTTTTGGAGCAGGTTAGAGTTTTGGAGCAAGTTAAAGTTTTTGTAGCAGATCTTGTTTCCAAGAAACTATAAGTCATATATTGACCAAACTTGTATGAATGATACGTCTAAGGATGCAAACTACCAGGCTTGCTTCAGATGCTGGATCTGACGTATATTTCCGATTGATTAACCAGGCTAAAATTTTTGGAGCAGATCTTATTTCCGAGTAACTATAAGTCCTATATTGACCAAACTTGCAAGGATGATACATCTAAGGATGCACACGACTGGACTTGCTTCGGATGCTGGATCTGACCTACATTTTCCAGATGAGTGATCAGGTTAAAGATTTTTGGAGCAGGTCCATTGCCAAGAAACTATAAGGCCTATCTGAACCAAACTCGCATGGATGATGCATCAAGGGACGAACACTTTCAAACTTGCTTCGGATGCTGGATTTGACCTACAGTTTCTTGATGAGTGACTAGTATAAAGTTTTTTGAGACAAGTCCGTTCCCAAGTAACTGCAAGCCCTATCAGACCAAAATTGCATAGATGTTGCATCTAGGGATGCACACTACTAGATTATTAGTTTAGTATGGGATTTTGTCTTACTTAAAGACAACATTCGTTGAGGTGAGCTCTGTAATCTCTGATTACCTATGTTTTAGGTTGTGACAGTATTACCTGTATGTGCCTCTTGACTGAGTTTGACATCTCAGAGCTTTTTCAGGTTGTGATAGCATCACCTGTATGAACGGGGGAACATGTATGGATACGGCCACAGGAGGTGTTTGTCAGTGCCCACCGATATACTCAGGAGCCCTCTGTGAAAACTTCGGTAAGATTTTCATTATGATTAAAAAACCTGTCATATATGCCATTTTTGAACTGGGCAAAATGTTATTATTTGAATTTATTGATAAAAGCCTATATTTGGCCGTTTTATTACCTATTTACGGCTGTAATTCAAACTAATTAAACGATACAATAATAAAACTTATCAAGAATGTAATGTTAAATTTTGTATGATAGATGATAAAACCTGTTAAAAAGCGGTATGAAAAATTAACAAGCATAATATAAAAGTACTGACCTACTTTTTTGACAATTACCTAAGGCTGCATAGTTTTCTTACCATGTGTTATTCCTCCCTTAAAAGTGGACTTTTTACGAAGACATTTACTTTAGAAAGTAACTGTCAATAATACAGCTTAACTTTTAAGATTTGTTTTCTTCAGCGGACAATGTGCTTTCCTGCACATTTGATGACAATCCATGCTTCTTGGAAAACGTCACAGGTTCAGATACTATGAACTGGAGAATATCGAGGGTGAGTGCTCCAAAAAGAATAAATTAACATAATTTAGTAAATACTATTTAATTAATACTATTGTTTTTAACATATTTTATTCACTGTTTCAAAAGGATCGAAACCAACTTCTTATAACTTACTACATGTAATACCTCTCCTTATATATTACATGTCATGCAAATTAGAGGAAAAAAAATGAATGAAAAAACATACAATGAAATCTGAAGATAAAAAACAGAAATCATGCTCACAAGTCCATTGAAGCAATACTAATCAAAGCTGTGCTAAGTAGCCAGGAAAAAGCAGACAAAGTAATGAAATAAAATTGAAGAAAAGCAGGGTGGTCTTTCACATAGGTTATTTTCTTATGTTAAAATGCACACAGATAACTTTTTAAATCTGCTTAAGTTAAAATGCACGCAAATTACTTTTAAATCCGCGGAGATATGACCTAGAGATAGCAAATATGCAATATTTCAAGGGGTTTTTAGGAAATCAAAACATTTTTAGGAAGTATTTCCCTTTTCTACTTCAGAGGAACCCGATACATCAAAGGATTGCTTACATTTCATGTGAAAGATCAGTGTTATTTTCACTTTTCAAGTGCGCTCAGAATTCAGCCCAAAGCAATCAAATGTACCCCCATTCCTTTACAAGCCATGCAAGAAAAGGAGCGGTAGTGTTAATTAGAAAAAAAAACTTAGTTAATTTTAGAATATTTGTAACAGATTTCTACTAATAAGAATATTTTTACAGCACGAAGGTTCAGACAGTGATCGTTACTTTAACAACTGCAGATATTACCAGTTTTCGAATTATTAGCATGCTTTGAAGTGAATAACAGCAAAAGCATTTTTAAAAGAATTTCTTTTCATGCCACAGGGAAGTACCCCAAGTAGTAGAACAGGACCGAGTGTTCGATTGGATGGACCTTACGCGTACATTGAAGCTTCCCGAAGAAGACGTGGAAATAATGCTATTCTTACATCCGAATCAACGTCCATTGCTGATGTCGGTGAGCACATTTCTTAATTGTAAAACATGAATCACTTAATTGTAATACATGAATCACTTAATTGTAATACATGAATCACTTAATTGTAATACATGAATCACCTAATTGTAATACATGAATCACTTAATTGTAATACATGAATCACTTAATTGTAATACATAAATGACCTGATTGTAATACATGAATCACTTAATTGTAATACATGAATTATTTAAATGTAATACATAAGACACTTCAATGGAAAGAAACAACATTATGTACCTATACTTATTAAGTGCGCAAGGTTTGTTAACAATGACCTCAGACATTAGAGAAAGTCATCTAATATGCATTTTGCAATGTTTTGCATCATGAAATGTACTAAAATGGATAAAAAAATTGTTTTCTTTTTCTAATACAATGCATCACAAAAATTATTATTTTTTGGCTGGAAAGTTAAGCATGTGACCAAAGGAAAAATTCAATGCACTTTAGTGAAATCCATTCCTTCTGATTTTCTATAAAAAATGTTTATATTTATGTTTTTTTGAAAACATTAGGACCCCGATGTCTTCGATTCTCCTACAACATGTATGGTTCTAATATGGGGACGCTGCGTGTGCTTGCCGGAGAGCGTGGCGCAGAGGTGGAGGTATGGAGTCTCTCTGGAAATCAAGGAGATGTGTGGACTCCTGTAGAAGTGGAAATTCCGGCAGCAACTGACCTCGTGGTATGTTGTCTTTTATACTGACCTCCTTGAATGTTGTCTTTACACTGATCTCATGGTATGTTGTCTTTATACTGACCTCGTGGTATGTTGTCTTTTATACTGACCTTGTGGTATGTTGTCTTAATACTGACCTCGTGGTATGTTGTCTTTTATACTGACCTCGTGGTATGTTATCTTTTATACTGACCTGGTGGTATGTTGTCTTTATACTGACCTCATGGTATGTTGCCTTTTATACTGACCTCGTGGTAGGTTGTCTTTTATACTGACCTCGTGGTTTGTTGTCTTTACACTGACCTTGTGGTATGTTGTCTTTATACTGACCTTGTGGTATGTTGTCTTTTATACTGACCTCGTGGTATGTTATCTTTTATACTGACCTGGTGGTATGTTGTCTTTATATTGACCTTGTGCATGGTATGTTGTCTTTTATACTGACCTCATGGTAGGTTGTATTTTATACTGACCTCATGGTATGTTGTCTTTCATACTGACCTCGTGGTATGTTGTCTTTATACTGACCTCGTGGTTTGTTGTCTTTTATACTGACCTTGTGGTATGTTGTTTTTATACTAACCTCGTGGTATGTTGTCTTTTATACTGACCTGGTGGTATGTTGTCTATATACTGACCTGGTGGGATGTTGTCTTTATACTGACCTGGTGGTATGTTGTTTTTTTTATACTGACCTTGTGGTATGTTGTCTTTTATATTGACCTGATGGTATGTTGTCTTTATACTGACCTGGTGGTATGTTGTCTTTATACTGACCTCATGGTATGTTGTCTTTTATACTATTTGCTGCCATCCTTGTTGTTATACATGAGTGCAATCTACTACAAAATGAAGGGGTCCATTATTACATTTTTCTTAGGTGATAATTGTAATGTTTTCTTATGATTTTTTCAGAATAGTTCTTGATCGAAAAAGTGTCAATAAAATAAAAGCCTCCTCAATTTTTTGGATTGGAATTTCATGCCGGAATTTTAAGATTGTTTGGAGAAATGCTTTTGTCTGAAAACATCTGAAAATACAGGGGAAAAAATCCAAATAAGAATGTGTAAAGTAGTTTCCTTCCTTTTCTTTTCAAAGATATTTCAGACCCGTTTGTTTGTTTGTAAAATATATGTAAAATACACTTGTCTAGTTTTAGTGGGGCATCTTGAAATGTCAAAAAATAGGGGTTTTTTTCCCCTATTTTCATGAAGCACTACATGTCTAAAACTTCCAAATTAAATAAAGGTGTGCCAATCCTAATTAAACTAGAAATATGTCCCTAGGAAATGAATGCCCTGCTCAGGGTTCATTTGTAATGAAGCATGAAAATTTATATTAGTGCATAAAGTTTGATAATTACCTTCATACAATAATGGAGTGTACCCAAGTGCCCAACATCATTAAATATCGAACTATATTAATTTCAATGAATAAAAAGGGATGGGTTGAAAATTAAGAATGTGATACATTTATGTGTTACTTAAAAAAATCAGAACCCATTGTGTAAATGTTCTTTTTCAAACAGAAGATTTATCAATCAGGATTGTGAAAAATTATATATATTTTGCAGGTTCAATTTGAGGGAATTCGCGGAAATGGTTTCAGAAGTGATATGGCAATTGACACTATCAGTCTGTCCGAGACTCCTTGTACAGGTATAGGTTTCAAATGCATATAATATTGAAAATATATATCTATATATATTCGCAGAGTTGACAAAGTATATTAATATTTTTAAACTAAAAAATGACCATCTTTTTGATCACCAGAGTCACTGAAGTGAACTTTTTTGTTATCTGTTTTAGTCCATCGTAGTTCGTCTTCCATTGATCTTTTTTACAATTTGTTTTCGTAAAAAGGATTTTTTTTTTAAATTCAGTATTTCTCTGAATGTCATTTAAATGAAATTTCTTAGGTAATCTAATTTCTCTTGGTTCATATAGCCAACGTCCACACGCAGAGATTAGGTTCTAGGATGGGGCTAAGTTGATGAAAGTTCATATATAGAAAATTATTATATAGTAGGCCTGATCTTATTTACTCCTGAAGTTCTGGAAAACCGCTGTATGAATTTGATAATGATTATAAAGTCCTGACCAAACTGTAAAAATTCTACATGAGACGAGTTCCAGGTACATGTAGGGTTAAAGTGGTCCTAGCCTAGAGAGACCCATGATACTCACGTGAACTTCAAGGCCCTTGGGCCTCATGTTTAATATTTAATGTTGAATATTTTGATACATAATTCAAGAAAGGACAAGACTTTAATGTTATTTCAAACCAAGTAACATTCTATATTTATTTGATCGTGAATTTGAATATATTAATAATGTATTTTATAGTAAAGTTTAATCTAGATCAGTTATGTATTTGATAGTAAATTTATTTTATTTATTGTAGGACCTTCGCCAGCTTGACGTTAGAATCTTGATCAAATGAATTAAATGTCCACCCTTCAAGACATTCTTGATTAGGCCTAGTTCACTTTTTTTTTTGTAATTTGAGTGCAATGCACTGCAAACATTGTTACAGTATAAGAATTTAATGAAAAATCTATACATATTAGTGTCTGATTTGTTCAATCAAATGTTTGCTTTAATAAAATGTTTGTTTTCGTATTGTTTTGTCTTTGTATATAGTCCGCTTAAAAAAATCAAAAATTGGATATTTAATAAAACATTTCAATTCGCAATAATGTGGGGTTTTAAGGATTGGTATCTGTTCATCATAAGTAATGCAGCAATGTTCCGAAAAATAAATCCTATCTTTTCCGTAAGCGATGTCAAGGCTTCCTGAAAATGACTTTAAGTATGCATTTCCATTGCTCTAGCTAGAAAATCTCAAAATAAAGGCGATGGAGAGTTGCAGATGCAAATTTACACCACATCACGCCTCAACAGGCTCTTACGTATCATTAACTTGAATTACAGTCCTTGGAGCGGAAGTCCAAGGGTTACTACACTGCGCTTAGCTAGAGAAAATTCGACCTCATCATCTTAAAGCTGAACATGATTCGTAAAAGCAATGTGTCCGCCATTTTTGTTCGGATTCTCGCTATATCTGAGGACCCCTATATAAAGGGCCTGACTTGGACACTGTTCAGTATGATCAGTCGACACCGGTGTAGGCGGACGTATGCTACACAGCACTCAAAAATAACTGTAATACCTCGTCTAATGCAGGAAAGTAGATACAAAAGAAACTTACAATTATAGTTGTACAGGTTAATGCATTATACAAACAAACACAGATACACGTAACTACAATAAAATGTAAACAAAGGTATTGCAAGATAACCAGCACGAACACGGGTCGCCATTCCACGCCGATACCCGTGACAATAAAGCAGTCAGGTGTAACGAATGCGAAGAGTATACCCTGGTGTTGATGTGTCGTAGATATAATATCGAAAATGGCGTATGCCTATTTACGAGTCGTGTTCAGCTTTAAAAACAGGCATTTAAAAATGGCAAAGAATATTTCTTTCGCTCAGATCTTGAGATATATGAACCTACTGCATCATAGAAATCAAGCTGCAACTGTTGTGCATGACAGTCTTGCACGCTGTAATTGAATGGTCGGGGTGGGGGTGTTTTAAAGAGGCTGGGGGTTGTGGCCATTTTTAGACTATATTGATCTCCTTTAGAAGAAGATCTCCATATGAAGATATAGAAAATGATCAAATTTTAAAACTAAAATTTTTGAAATTTTTCTTTGCCAAATGATAGTTGACAGCTTAAGATATCATATCTAAAAAATTAAGTTAAATCTGGTGGTTAATTTGTGGTTAATTTGTTGACCCCCAGCCTCCTTAACAACGGAAGTACACCAAGAATGAATTACTTATTACGATAACGTCCGAGAGGGTTCTGGCTTGACGTAATAATCTCTCTCGGGTGTTATCATAATATGTAATATATTCTCTATGCAATTCCGTTGCGTTTACCTAAGGATTTTTCAACGCACTGACTGCAATGCTGTTTAAGGATTAATTGTGGGATTCTTACGAGATGCAGAGTCAATCCAATAGCATGAACTAAGACAGAAATATATGTAGAGACAATGTGAACCGACATTTTAGGTTGAAATAAAATATAAACATGTTTTTAACCCAGAGAGACCAGTGGGGGGTACAACGTAAACAAACCAGAGTGGCATACCTTTCTCTCTTATAATGTATAATGAGGCATTTTTTGTGTGGAACGATTATTTTGGGGTTTTCACGATTTTTTCCTATGGTTCACATGATGTATAGGTGCAATAAATATAATTTGTGAAAAAATGTCCAACAAACCCCGGGGTTGAATATCGGGGGGGGGGGGGGGGGAGGAGGGTCCTGTCCACCAGTACCTGTGGACCAAATCGTAGACATTTAAACCATAAATGTTTCGTACACATGATTCCTGCAGATCGCACACCAAGTACGCCCAATCTTCTTTAAATACTATGAAAATACATCGGGACCGGTATCATAAAGATGTATACTCAGAATTGCGACTGAAATCTCTATAGGGATTGCGGAATAAACAGAGAATAAATGACAAATAAATTCTAATTTCTAATAATTTCAATTGCATTATTCATTTTATCCTTGAGAGTTGGGAATCATACTTTATTCAATTTTCACATTTTATATTCTATTGAAGTATTTCTATCTGTGGATTTTTAGCTCTACTGGTCGAAGACCAGAAGAGCTTATGCGATAGTAAGGTATCCGTCGTCTGTCTTTCTATCTGTCCGTCTGTCTGTGGACAATTTTTCAAAATGCTACTCTTTCTACATTTTTGAACTGATTTCAATATAACTTGGCGCAAAAGTAGACTTATGTAAGATGCATAAATCTGTTTATGGGTTTTTGATTTCCATGAACGGTGTTGCCATGGTAACTAAAAATAAAATTTTCCCTGAAATACTTTCAAAATGTTACTCCTACAGTTTTGGTCTGGTTTCAAAATAACATGGCACAAAAGCAGACTACACTTAGATACATAATTCTGTATATAGGTTTTATTATTTCCTTGAACGGACGTGGAGACCGGTCCTTCGGATGAGACTGTATAAACCGAGGTTCCGTGTCGGAGTAGGTACTGGCACGAAAAAGATCCCTCACTGCTCAATGGCCCTGAGTGCCGAGTATAGGTCAAGATTTGTAGCATTCCACCGGCAAGTGGTGGCGTCTCCATATGAGTGAAAAATTCTCTAGAGGGACGTTAAACAACAAACAAACAGACGAAAAATTTCCTTAAACGGTGTTGCCATTGTTACTAAAAATAGAAATATCTATGAAATACTTTCAAAATGCTACTCCTCCTACAGATTTGGTCTTATTTCAATTAAGAAATAATGTATCATTTTTAAACATCTATCGGGATATAAATACGGGTTGGTCACGAGATCAAATTCCATAAAGCCCGAAGGGCTTTATGGTAAATTTGATCTCGTACCAACCCGTATTTATATCCCGATAGATGTTTAAAAATGATACATTATTACTTATGTTTACATTTATGACTTATTCATATTTTATATTTTCCTGATTATAATCTTTAACGCGTGAAAAGTTTTATTTTTCAAACTCAACGGCACGTATTTGATCCATTGTTTGCGCGTCGACCCTTTATGACGTCACTGAGAAATTACGTCGAACGTTTATGACGCGAGGAACCCGTGTTTATACGGATATAGATACGCGTTGCTTTCAATAGTGTTATATAAGGGAAAACATTTGCAAATGTAAATATTATAACTTGTCACACAAATAGACTACATTAAGATACATAATTCTGCATATCAGTTCTTGATTTCTTTGAACAGTGTTGTCATGTTTTCTAAAAATAGAATTTTCCTTGAATTACTTTCAAAATGCTACTCCTTCTACACTTGGTCTGATTTCAGTATAGGCTAACTTGTCACTCAAGTAGACAACACTAAAATACATAATTCAGTATATTAATTTTTGATTTCCGTGAATGGTGTTGACATGATTACTAAAACAAGATTGCAAGGACAATTCGAAAAATCATGGAGTTTTCTGTTATTAGGAGTTCCTTAGTAGAACTTTTCAACTGTAATAAAATAAAATTGAATACTTCTACATTTATTATGAAAAATTATACGTTGCATTATTTATTGAGCGGCCGTCGTATATGTCATTACAGAGTAGGTGGTCAATACTGGTTGTTTTAAAAGATAAGTATCTTAAAGTATCTTAAAGTGTTAGACGTTTGCCATCCATATCAAAAGTTAGTTGTATCCCAAACGGCCTACCTCGTTTTTTCTTGACGCCATTTTTGTTTATCAATCTAAAAGTAGCGACGGTGTCACGTGATGCATTTTTGTGTTTATGGAAATATTTTATTTTAAGTGTTTAACACACACAATTATTGAAAATGCTTATTTCTCTCCACGTGTTAACATATAAAACAAAAATAAGCACATTGCACATTTAGTATCTTCACATATATTGTGATGACAAACAGCGTTCCATACAATTTTTTGTGTGCACATGATGCTACAATGTAGCCTTTTGTCTTGTACATGTACATGAAACACCCAAAGAAGGAATAATTATTCCTTTTGAAATTAAAATAAAAATTGTACTTCTGATGGTTTTGCTATTTGTATACATAAAGAAATTACCAACTGCAGGGTGGGCCCAACCTTATGTTAAGATGGTAATAGGCCTATGTGGAAGTCAGACTTCATTACTTTGAAAATCAAAATGCATCATACTTTTCATTTAGTTATGATTGCATAACAAAGTACTGATTAAAACAGCAACTTTCAATGCTATTTAAATGGATATTGTTTACATGTCTGCCATAGAAAGCTCACTTTGAGAAGGTATGGTGTGCAAATGCGTCATTCTAAATTCATTTTGATCCCCTAATTTTTATCTTTCAATTTTCTAACTTCCCCTGAGTGAACTTTTCTAAACTTTTTATATGTGAGTTACCAATTGTTTATTTATAAATCTGCATTAAAATATAAGCTGTTGCAATTAGTTCTCAAACTTTCTGAAGAATGACTGGACAAATAAAGATACAGTTATTTATACGGCGGGTACAATGTATGTTCAATTTGTTATAGCTAAACGCTTCATATTTTACATTTATTTCATGCATTGTTTTCCTAACATAGCAAACGATTGGCGACCTGTTGATGAAATTTTTTTTAATTTTTGTTTTATTTATCTATTTATTCATTTTTACATTTTTACGTGCACGTCACTGTCGCCATACTGTATGAGAAAGCTTGGAACGATAAATAGCAACAATTACCAATGCACCTCTCAAAGCATTTGAAAGATGAACTGTAGACAAATTGCATGAATATTTTTCAATAAATAAAACGGTGTCCCATTAAAATTACGCTGTTAATGAATTCCATTAAGTTATTTCAATTTAGTTGTTTCAAGTCAAATCTGGGCCACAACTAACATGTTACAGAACAAAAATAAATCGAAAGTTAGAGTTAAAACAAGTATTAGCTTTCCTAAAAAGCTTGTCTGACTTGAGCAAATTTATTTTTACGCGAAGAATCAAGAAAAGTTAAAATCTAGTGAAATGAATTCTTTTCCTAAGACACAAGAAATGTTCATTTTAGTGACATCAACATA